TTATTGAACAAAATAAATAAAAATGAGCATGAAAGAACTCATCCAAAACACCTGATTCACTTTTGCAGAATCAAATTTCAAAGTAAAAACAAACCATCCTGCTATTTGGACATGTTTTCTCTTTCCCAAGCTACACTGTATAATGTCTTTGACATCTCAGTGATTCATAGCACGTTTGGGCTTTGAATAGCAGGACATGAGCAGGAGTCAAGTGTGTATGTATTTGCTAATGCTCTCAAGTAACTCCTCCTGGGACCAGTCTGCACTCTCCATCCTTGTCTGTGAGACGTGGAGTTGCATCTGTTGCTGAACCTCTCACTGAAAAAAATCTCACTTGATGTTATCAAATGTAATTTCTAGTGAAAAGAAATGGATTCTCTTTCTAAAGTTTTACTTCTTGCATGGTTTAATGTTGTCTTTCAATTGTGACTGATTCCAAATCTTTGGCTTTCGTGTTGCCTCTTGATAGGAAATACCTAAAATATTTGTAATGATTGTCTTCTTGCATCCAAAATAGTTCACCCCCTCCTTATGGCGCTCTGCATAGTGCTCCCTCGTTGACTGCTAAAGTTCGTGTCCCAAATGCACTCATAAATCTCGTGTCTTCATTGTTGCCAACATTGTTTGCAGTGGTGGAGCAGCACAAGGATTTCATCGTTTCTGCTGCTGTTTGCAGTTTTATTTTTAGATATTGTCTGTTCTCTGCGGTCAGACTGATGAAATGCATACCCAAACAGTTTCTGAAATGAGTAATAGACGATGATATTTTATTCGAGTGACATAAATGTGTGCAAACTTTGATTTAAATGTTATTTTGATGACAGTCGTTTACGCACCCATTTCTCAGTAGCTTTCACGTTGCCATGATCATGTGCAGTCCCCATGATCATGAGGCTTTTGGTGGATGTTTTATGTTTCATTTACATTTTGTGAACTCATTTTGTCAAAACAGAAAGAAAAATGACAAAGAATCATGTGATGATTGTGGTGAATGGTTGTAAACATTGTGGTACTTGCAGAAGTGTACCACAAATCACTCTAGAGAGTGTGTCCAGTCCAGCACAAAGAAAACTGTGATGGATAAAGTGGCAATACTTCGAGCTAACTGGTTTGACCCAGATTGGGATGTTTCTGCCAGAAACCTGCCAGTTGCACACTGTCTTGTTTAGACTGTCTGTTAAAAGCCACAGGGCTCCATCCAACAACCTCTGTGTGTCAACTATTTTTGTACATTAGGTGCTACAATCCAACAGTCCAAACCATTAGATTCCAATTGGAGCTTTGTTATTCTCCAACATATCACAATGAGGAATGAGCCTTGCCGAACTGGACCTGTGCTGAGCATCAAATAGTGAAAGGGCTGGTTAAAAACCTTCTATCCAGCCTGCAAGGCATCTCAAACCCAGAGGTAGGTTCTCCACTAGAGATGCATCAACTGCCAAGAGTTCTTTATTTCTTCGAGAGATTTATGGACACCGAGGATCATGAAAGCACCTCAGAGACAGAGCTGTTAGTGAACGGATCAGCTGTGGTCCACACGTTGCTGTTCAGTGCTTCACATAAACACCACTCAGGCCTCGTCATGCAGAGTGGGCTACAGAGATAGTTTAAGATGTAAACAGTTCCTGAGGATCTGGGTCATCGTGTGTGTGTGTGTGTGTGTGTGTGTGTGTGTGTGTGTGTGTGTGTGTGTGTGTGTGTGTGTGTGTGTGTGTGTGTGTGTGTGTGTGTGTGTGTGTGTGTGTGTGTATGTATGTGTGTGTGTGTGTGTGTGTGTGTGTGTGTCATCAGATAAACCCAGAATTCTTCCATCTGTCTACGAGACACTTGCTTCCCGGTGGATACCTTACAGGAACAACACCGTCACAAACTGGAGGAGTAGAGCTAGTGTTTTCCAAGTATTCACTAAAGCGCTTTTTTGACAGTTAAACAAAGACAGCCATCAGAACGTGTCCCCCCCACCCCCCACCCCCACCCCGATGCACTTTGGTCAGAACCCCTAAAACGTCACCTGGCATTTTACTTGGCGAGTTAAAGTCCAACAGTGGTTGTTGTGCAGCACCATCAGAGTTTCACGGAACAAAGGATTGGTAGCGTGGCTGACTTTCTTCCATTTTTTATTCTGATATGTGTTTTTACAATGCTTGACTCTGTGGTATTTGTGCTTCAATCCAAGTCATCTGGGTCAATAAGCAGAGCTGGAACTGCCACTCACACTGTCCATCACGCTGTCAGAAAGCTCACGTCCACATGTTGTGCAAAGTAACTCGTCAGAAGCTTTGTCATTTCAGCACAACCTATTCTTGGCCGTCCATGTCTGTGATTTATAATTTCCTCAGCTCTTTTGAGATTTAGCTCTAATTCTTTTCCATTTGAACATGTAAATGAATGATAATGAGTGATGGTGGTCCTTGCCAGTGACTCAGTGTCATACTTGGAAGCTTCATTTTCTACTGCTTTGATCACAGTCCTGGCCTGAGATTTATCAGAATTTGAGATTTCTTTTGGCAAACGTTTACTGAACACATGTTGTGAGCATGTACACACTCGGATAAGAAATACATCTCATAACTGTAAATCTTTTTTATGCAATCAATGAGTCAAATGATATTAATTTCAGGATTTCAACAACTTACACATGCAATTAACACTTGTTCTTTGGCTTGATTGTATTTGTACAGTAGTTGATGCTTAATTTGAATGTTGGTGTCATTTCTGTATGCAAATCCCATCATGCATGAGTACGTTCAACTATATCAGCAAAGCCTCTGGCTAAAGAGCCATGCAACCCAAGCATGCCCATCTGCTGTCAGGAGAGGACTGGCAAGAATCGGTCCTAATTGAAGATCTGCAGAAAAAAAATCCAATTTAAAAAAAAAAGTCAAGTGACACAATTTTGTATTGAAATATTAGAAATTTGTTGCAGAAAAATGTTAGCAAGCGCTCTTTTGTTGAGGAGACAAAAGTTGAAAGTACAAGGTGGAGTTTCTTTGTATGTTTGTGATTACTGGGTTACCAAAAGGAACATGTTATGATATTTTTTCTTAAGTTATAATAGTTCTAGTTTACTTCAAACATGCTCATGATGTTCTTTGCGCAAAATCTCTCTCACACAAAATGACTTCGTTATTCTTGACATTTTCAGTACTGCTAATTGTTCTGTTTGTGACATCACAAAGAGGGACTTTTTGAAACGGCTCATGTTAGGCCCTTATTTCCGAAAAATCAAACAGTGGCGGAAAATAAATGAACTGATATTTTTTTTTCATGTTTGGAGTGTTTATAGAGGAAATAGAGACTGACATTGCATTACAAACGCATACAAACATTTAATTGAGATTAAGAAAACACTTGGAATGGCCTTTATTTTTTAGATATGCACTAAGAGTTATGTTTTATTCTTTTGTAAAAAGAGAATCCAGAGCATGCAGGAGGGATGGTGCTAGTGGTCAAGCTCAAACCCCCCCCCCGTGTACGAAAGCATGTAAGGAAATAGATCACATTCTTCTGATGCAGCACTCATTGTATTATTGACAGAAGTTTCTTTTGAGTCATGCAGGTCTAAAGCTGGGGAATGGTACCATTTCTCAGAAGAATTTCAGTTCTTCATGAAATTATACATGCAGAATTTTGTCTTGCTTTTCCCTCCATTCCCTCTGATCTGCAGGCAGAAAGGGTAGTGATGACCTCATGCATGGAGGAAGTGACTTTGCCACTGAAGTCGGAAGGAGCAACATCTGGCTAAGCCCAGGAAGTCAGACAGGATGCTTGCAGGCCAGGTGTCAGTAGTAGTGAAAAAAGCAGAAATTTTTATTGGCATCTGTAACTGGGTTTATCACCTTGTTTATCACCTTCTGTCCATCCTGGCATAAGAACCTCTTGCTTCCCTGTGTCATATCCTTTACCCGGCTCCACCCTGAAGATTCAGCTTATGGGTCAGCAACTGCCAGCTGTGTGTGTGTCTTTAGAAATGATTATGTGAGAAACCATTATCAAATGTTGGCCTCCTTTTTCCTCCTCCTTTCCTTTAGTTCATTTAAGCACCAGGAATGTTTTTTTAAGCAGTGACTTGCAGAGGCTTGTGCCTCATGTGCTTCACCCTTCAGCTGGGACAGGGTGTGTTTATCTGCTTTTTGTGTTTGCAACAAAGTGTGTGGGCACATGGATGTTTGTGTCCAGTCTGTTATTGCCTGATTATTGCTGTGAGTCATCAGTGTTGATTCAGTGTGTAACTGTGTGGCTTAAAACTACATGTAATGAAGTGGATGAACAGGTCATAACCTCATTTGTGGTCTGATTACAGTCTTGCAGGACGACAGGTGTTTTGTGTGGAATGGAGTGTCTGATGTGTGCGGCAGGGTTTGTCTTTGTCTGTCAGGGAAGATCAGTGGGATCCAGATGTTTCTGTGGGGGTGGAGTTCAGTATTCCGCAGTCCACTCCAAAGCCCAGGTAGACTTGTCTTTTTGTGTGTTTGAAAGACAAACGCCTCCTCCAGGTTTCTCACACAAAATCATCTTTCAGGTACAACTGTTAGTGAACCAGCCCTGTTAATCTATCAATCATAGACTCACCCCTATTGGATCGTAATTGGTGAAGGCTGTGTTGAATTTTGCAGCCAGGAAACAGCACAGTGCATCTTGGCCTGGCTAGTAGAGTTGCATTGCTGTTAGCCAATCAGAGTCGAGGTGTCAGAATATCAGGAATTTGAGTAAAATCCTGCCCCCGGCTAACTTCTACTTCCTGAAACAGAGGCGCCAGAGTTTTGCTTTAGACAGAAAACGACTTACAAGGCCTTCGTTTGTACTAGAGACTACAACAAAAGTTTGGATAAAACAAGTGAATGAGAGCTTTAAAATTAAATATTCAAAGCTACCAAGACAACGTCTCTTAATATTGTCTTCTTTTGCACTGAAGCATGGGGTTGCATACAGGATGACATTTTTCTCTGACATGAATCTGAGGTCATTTGTTTATGGTCTTGTGATGATGTGATTGGCAGGACCCAAGTGAGACGGGGGCCCCCTGAATCATCCCCTCAGCAGTCAGGGACCTCCCGTACAGTGAAACGTTATCCATCATCCTCTAAGCCCATAACGTCAAATGCCCTGCCAAACAGCAATGTCCACGCCAACGGCCATGCCAGTGAACACAGGAACCGGCACGGAGACAGGAACAAGCAAGGCGATGCCTTCAACGGCCACAGACCTACTAGCAACAGCCAGCTCAATAACGTGTTACTTCCAGCAGGTAAGAACATGAAACAATGCAACAATCTAATCCCATTTATGTTTTTGTTTGTTCCACCCTGTTCATAAAAACTCTTCTCACTCTGGCGCAGTCAACAGCAGCTACAGTAGATGCAAACACACCCTGTAGTGTCACTCATAAATGGAACATTAGAAGGGAAAAAGAACCTGGCGTTTACCCAGGTTACACCCCCCGTCCACCCTCCTCCTGTTCTCTTTGGTTTGCATCACACAAACAGACGTTTCAAATCACGGCTGCTTTCATTTACACACTTGCTCGCTCTCCAATGGGTTGTGTCACCTCTCCTACATGACAAACACTGAACCCTGCCTCCCTTATTCACTGCAAAAGAAAATGTGATCTAGTATTTACTACTTTAAAGTCCACTTTCACTGTTTCACGATGCTATAGTGCAAGCAGCTGTCTTATGTGCTGGCTTCTGTTTTTTTCCCCTTGAGCCAGGGCAACGGCTGTTGAACAGATTCCTATAGTGTTCACATGCACTTACTCTCTCTTTGTCTCCCTGAAGCATACACACATCTAAAACACCTTCTCCTAAAGATAAAGGGCTTGGAGACCTTCCCAGTATCTAACAGTATCCTTTTCTCCCTCCCTTTTTCGGCCTGTGGCATATTTCTTATTCCACTTCAGCGTGCCACTAGCCAAGCCGTCAGCACACACCCTCACACACTTATAAACCTCCCTTTCGTTCAGATGAGGAGTGTGTCACTGTGAGGCCGAAGGAGGAAAGATGCAGCTCCTCTTCAGCCTGCCTCTGCTGCTGCTGTTGTTTCTCAAACAGATGTGTGTGTGTCGTCCAGGGGCCAACCTCACGTCCAGCCTGGACCGAATCAAGATCGTCTTCACACCTATGTCGTGCCGCCGGGTGTGCAATGGCGGGCACTGCTATAACAGCTGTGAGAAGGGAGATGTCACGACGGTGTACAGCGAGACCTCGCACCATCAGCAGCAGCAGCAGCCAAAGAACCAAGGTTTCAGACTCTGTGAGTGTTAACAGGCCTCCTGATTCTGCTTTGTCCTGTAAATTTTCACTCATGTCTTTTCTGTGCCTCTGATGTTTACTTTCTAATTCCCACGCACTTTCCTTGTGTCTCCATTCTGATCTCTCATTCTGTTTTTTATGAGGTGAGCAGAACAAAATGGACTCCCAGTAGCATGCTGTCTGTTCTGAATACTCGACTCAGGGAACAAGCAGAGTAGTTGAGATTAAAGCTGAGAGCTATGTAAAAAACCGTACTGTCTAGGAAAAATGGGCAGAGAAAGCATGGGTAGAGCAGATTAAAAGCTCTGTAAAAGGGGGCTAATCTCCCTTTGCAGACACACACGTGGAGCTGGTGGTCCCACGCTCCCAGCACTTAGCCCCATCTCTTTGCGGTTTGCACCTCGCGGTTGGCCCTGCTGTTAACCATTTAACATGCTCTCTGGGAGAGCAGGAACGAATGAAAGGATAGATGGAGAGGCGGAAAGGGAGAAAGAGTAGCAGCATGAACAGGATTTTATGGGGATTACATTAAACCTACCATTTATCCAGAAGACTTTGCTCCAAATTTACTCAGGAGTGTCCATTGGGGGGGTGGGGGGGTGGGGGGGGCAATGCCATGGGTCACAACCATGTGTTTTTGTTAGTTTTTGCATCAGTTTTTGAAAATCCAGTCAAAAATGCGACACACACACACTTTAAACTCACATTCAACCAAGCTTAATTATTGGGCGACGGTGGCGCAGGAGTTAAGAGCTGGCCCCGTAATCGGAAGGTTGCAGGTTCGAGTCCCGCTCAGTCTGTCACTGTCGTTGTGTCCTTGGGCAAGACACTTAACCCACGTTGCCTGCTGGTGGTGGGCGGAGGGACCGGTGGCGCCAGTACTCGGCATGCGGCCTCGCCTCTGTCAGTGCGCCCCAGGGCAGCTGTGGCTACATCGTAGCTCATCCCCACCAGTGTGTGAATTTGTGTGTGAATGGGTGAATGACTGGTTGTGTTGTAAAGCGCCTTGGGGGGTTCCAGGACTCTAGAAGGCGCTATATCAAATACAGGCCATTTACCATTTTACCATTTAATGACTCAAGTTGAATTGTAACAGTATAAACAGGGTGTAGTTATAGATTTATGACTCCTCTAAAGGTATTTTGGAACACGGTGTTGATGTTCCAAACGCTCCTTGACTGGGATCTTTCCAGATGATTACATTCCCCTCTCCTCCACTGTTTCCTCCACATTTTGTTTTCATGCCCCTGCTTAATTCTCCAGAAATGTCCCCTTATTACGTGAAAGCATGTGTTAAAGAGCACATTAAAAAGACTGCTTTCCATTTAGGCTTGCATGCTGTTGCTCCACGGGTGTGCGTGTTCGTCCAGGAATGTCAAGTGGACAGCGAGCGGTTGTCTCACACTGTTGCTATGTTGCCTGCACGTTGTTGTAAACTCTAGAAGGATAATTATGACAGGCTGCCTTTGATTCACATCCTGTGTACAGAAGTTTGATATTAGCCTCAGTAGGAGTCTGTTTACTGGGTGAAAAGTGTGCATCGGAGGTTGTAAAATCGACAGTAAGATGGTGTCTAAGAATAGTTTGTGTCCCCATGCCAGCTTGGATGTGCAGGCATTCCACATTGAAATGTTTTAATAGTCCCTTTAAGTTGATAATTTAGCCAACGTGTTAAAACCACAAAGGTCTTCCTGTGCGCCTGGACACCAGTGCTTACTGGCCTCAGTCTCTGTCTGGTTTTCCACATTTTTTAGCTGCATTGTGATTTCCATCTCTTCCAGCCCGGCTCTCTGTTTTCAATTCCATTTGTAAACATTTTCTTATAACCCCTTTTAATCTCTTCGTCTCCTCTATTTTTAGTCTTTCATCCTCCTCCATTCTCACTGCTGTTGATGCTATTCGACAGGGAGTTATGATCTCTACACGCCAGGGAGAGACTGTCCAGAGTCGGTCTGTTTGCACCCTGTTGGTGTGTTTGTGTCTCGCTCAATGAGGCAGAGATAGGATGAAACTCCCAGCGTGATTCCATGAAAAGCAGTCTCTTTCATCTCACGGGCCAGTCGCATATCTGCCTGTATAACAGTATCCTCATGTCTGCGTTTTCTTACTTCTAAGAGCTAAAAAATGTTTCCGTTTCCCCTTAAAAAGTCTTTTTATTCATGCTTTAGCTGGATGTAGTTTCTTTGTGTTTTTAAAGTCTTTAGTCTTTAAAGTTAGAAGAGGACATATCAGGGACAGTCTGAATTGGGCTTTTAGAAAACAAATGCTTTTTTACATTACAATGGAGCACATTCTTTCTGTGCAACACTTACAATGATTTCATCCACTATAATCTAATTCAAGTGTGAGGACTAAAGCAGCGAGAGACCATCTGAATGGATACGCCTTTACCTGTACGCAAATCAGAAATGTATGACACTTTAATTTTTAATGGACTACTATAAATTGCAGTCATTTGTAATATTGATTGTTGGATTGTACATGTTAATATTGGGATGCTGTTAGTTATTTTTCTACAGATAGATTTGGCAGCTGTCTTTTTTGCCAAAAATATTGAGGATTTGAAAGTTCTGTAAGAAAAAAAATAGTTGTGGTCATGTATTTAAAAGACCATGTTTTTTTTAACTTGTTTTTTGTTTTTTTAATGTGATCGGTCACGCTGAGTTTTACATGCAGGCTAAATGTGAAAATATTCTTCTACCTCTGTTTCCTGCATTGCCTGCCAATAGAAAATAGACGAGGAAATGCTCGGATTATGAAAAGCCACTCATATCATCTACGTCACACTGAAAATCAGCATTCATGGTCTCACACATTCTGGCTCACAACAGGAATGTCTTTTGTTGCTTTAGCGTGTAGGGGAGAACAGAGCACGTCTTGGCTATTGGAAGCTAACCATTAGCATCTCCACAACATGGAAGAACTCATTCAGGTTTTTATTTGTGAAGATAAAACAGAGTCAGTAGTAGAGTGACCTGTACTGGAATGTTTACTGTGTGAAGTGCATTGAGACGACTCTTGTCGTGATTTGGCGCTTTATAAATAAGCTTGAATTGAATAGAGTCAGTCAGTCAGAGAGGAGATGTTCGAAAATCAGGAAATAAGACTCCAAGTCCTGCCATGATCTTCTCACCTGCCCTCTGGCTCATTTCTACTTCCTGAAATGGAAGCACCAGCACTTTTTTCTCACAGAGATTGAATCACAAGACATTAATTTATACAACAAATGTGTAAAAAAACACAAGTGAACTTGTTCTTTAACCCATAAATCAATGTATGGACACATTTTAGGATATACTTTAACAAATGCAGATGATCTTTGTTAAGAATTCTGTTAAATTTTACTAATTTGGAGGAAGAAATCAATGGTTGCATGTAAAAAGTTCAATCATTTCATGGAGTTAATGAAGAATGATTCATCCATCCTCACTCTCCATCATGTTGAGAATTATGTAATTACTGTTGTAAGGTACAACATGTCTTTGAAGCAGGTGAAGCATGAGGGGTAGTGCCATGCCTCTGCCCTTAGGACAAAGCTGAGATGTTGTAAATGTCACATGAAATCAGGTGTCTACGAGAGAACAGCATGGTTACTGCCTACTGTTTGCAAACAAAAGCCTAATCCTCAGAGACATGCCCTTCCTATTAGCACTACCCTTTGTGTTTCTTATTACCAGATACTGGAGTCCTGAGATTAAACATGATTATTATCCCATTATTTCTTCTTTATTCCACCGCTGCAGTCTTCTGTCAGATTCCTTGTATGAATGGAGGTCGATGCATTGGCAGAAACCTGTGCTGGTGTCCATCAAACTCAACAGGAAAGTTCTGCCACCTGCCGACGCCTCCTCCTGTTCAACCCACTCCTCACAGCCACAAGGATGCAAGCCACCAGGGACGCAAATCTCCATCCCACTCTACGTACACGCTCCCGCTATCTAACCAGCAAGGTGAGAGGACAGAACTCTTACCAACATGTCTTTAGAATTTGTATTGTTTAATATACAGTACATACATATATATATATATATATATATATATATATATATATATATATATATATATATATATATATATATATATATATATATATATATATATACATATATATATTTATATATATATATATATATATATGTATGTATGTATGTATATATATATGTATGTGTATATATATATATATATATGTATATATATATATATATATATATATATATATATATATATATATATATATATATATATATATATATATATATAGGTATGTATATGTATATATATATATATATACATATATATATATATATATATATAAATGTATGTATGTATGTATGTATGTATATATATATGTATGTGTATATATATATATATATATATATATATATATATGTATATATATATATATATATATATATATATATATATATATATATATATATATATATATATATATATATATATATAGCTAAAGGGGACATAATGTGCATTACTCACCTTTTGCATCAATATCCGCTGCCCTGTAGGTCACTACCGCTTCTATACACACTACAAATGTGAAAGCTCACCGTCCATCCATTTTCTGTCAGTAGTTGGTTTTAGGAATTGTGTGCCTGAATCAGTTTCAAAAAGTCCCTTTTGTGACATCATAAATGGGGAAAATTCGAATTGAACTACCTCTGTTGAGAGCTACTGCTGTGAGAGCAGTGACTCTACTCCTAGCCCCTCCCAGATATAAAGTATTTCAGCCAATAGCTTGAGTAGGAGGTGGGTGGGCATGGCCAGCTCCAGCTGGTTTTCCCTAAAGAGCCCTGAAATGACTCATTCTGGAAGTTACAGAAACTGTCAAAAATAAAACTGCTTAAATTGTTTCATGTGAGAGGGATTTCATAAACATATTTTGCATCAACCATAGAACAATTATAACTTTAAAACAAGCCAGATGTCCCCTTTAAACACTTTTTTCATTACTCAATTGTTTTTTCTTACAGCTAAAAACTGAACATTTTATTAAATTATTACGATTGTGCAAAATTGGCTTTACATTCAGGCAAAATCAAAAAGAGATTAAATAAAACCCAATACATGAAAACATCCTGCTTGATGAACTTCCTGGCTCTGAGACAGCTCGCAATAAATTTGCTCCCAGCACTAATTATTGAACCACTTTTTGGAGAAAACCAAAGAACATAAATGTTGCCACAAAGCCTTCTTAACCCTCTGGAAGCAGGCATTGCAGATTTGCAACAGTTAAAACCTACCTACCTGGTTACTCCACGTACGTATTTCATGAACATTTTTTAACTCAGAAGTACCCCTGAAGGACTTAGTTGTTCGTCCTTTTATCAAAACTTATTTTGGGCCTGAGAGGGTTAAAAGAGCACAAGGTTCGTCCATGATTCTTAACATTATTTACAACATAGTAGCGATCAGACTCTATTTTTAACAAATAATGGATGACTCACTGAAAGTCAATGCACAATTTGCACAATTCCTCTTTTTGCAAAAACAGAAAGGTTATCAGGAACTGAACTGGAATATCTCATTATCTCATATAAATGTTAAAAATTAGATAGTTTCTGGTTGACTCATCCTCTTTTGGTGCCATTTTTAAATGATTATCTCTCAGTCCGCCAAACAGTAAATAGAAGCAGTTCTGAAAGTGAAATATCATGTTTTGACACAGCAAGTAAACGGTCCAATTGGTTTGCGAGCTTAAATGATAGAGATTCATCTTTTTGAGACTCCTGATAAAATCTGTGTTTTTTATTTGCAGTCTGTCTGAAAGTTTAGGATTTATGATAGTAGGTCAGGATTCTGGGAAATAACACTGGCACTCCCTAAAGATGGATACTTCCCCTCTGTCTGAAAAACAAAAGCTCCTTCTAGACATTTCAACATCTCATCGTCCCCTATAACTCGGTTTTTGGTATTTAAATTGATTTGATTTAAATTGGAAAATCCCAAACCCTTTGCAGCGTTGTAGTTCAGTGCCGGGAATGATCTGGATCTCACAGTTTGGAGATGAAGCAAGTATGTGTTGAACAAGTCCTTGTTAGATGTTATCTGATAGCTCAAAAATTGTGTTATGTAAATAAAGCTCTTATCCTTTAAATGTTGATGCTTATTTTTGCAGCGTTGCAAGTTTTCTCCTTTAAACTTTCCTCCAGTTTGTGTAAACTCTGGATCCGTTTTCTTCTAGTCTCCCTCCACCCATCGTTGGTGAACGTCCACATAAAGCACCCGCCAGAAGCAGAGGTTCATATTCACCAAGTAGCTCGTGTCCAACCTGGGCAGCGGCCAGCCACTACAGAGGGGGCTCACTCAGTCCAGCAGCGCTCCCAGCCAGGAAACGGACATGAGCACACAGGACTCAGACACGAACATACAGGAAATGGACACCACTACAACAGTGAGCATAACGGCAGACTCCCACACAGCTACGACCACCAGAACGGCTACGCTACAACTCCTTTTCGTCACAGCGGACATGTTGGAAGATGCTTTCAGGAAACAGTCGATGGACAGGTATTATGTTAGGTCCTTAAAGCACGGCGTTTAAACTGTCATCACTCTGATCCAAACCATGTGGTGCACCATAGCGAAAGCAGTTTACCTCTAGCACCATTATCTTCACATTCCTTCACTTAAAGGCTGTGATGTCAAGCAGGAAGTCACCTTGTGAGGATGATTTATTTCATGAGCAGGATTTATGTGCTCAGACCACACTGGGTATCTCATGTTCCCCTAGTTACCTGAAAAAAGGCGGATTATGAATCATTATGTGTTCATAGGATCAGCATCAGGCTTGACGATTTACCCATATGGTATTCTGTGTCTGAATGGGGGGAAATTGTCACACTTTTCATGCACATGCTCACTGCTTGTTAGGGTCTAAATCATTTGCAACAGTCATGCTTTGAGAACAGTTCATGAGTACAGAATGACTGTAAGAGCTTGGCTAATCTGAGACCTGGTATTGCATCTGTTCACTTGGAAGCCATTAGGGTTTAGTTAAGCAGTTGCAGTGAGGCATTGGTCCATGATGGGGCTGTTTTTGCCAGCACCGTTCTTCTCATTTTGTTAATCTGATTTGATAGAGAACTTGAAATTTCAATGTCAGAGAAGAACAATACTCGGGCATGAAAGAAGCATGAAAATGCTTTAGCATGAAATTTACCCTTTGCTTTTGCCAGAGGTGGGAAAATTCCCCCTCCTTATGTTTCATCCACATTGGCTAAAATTTCAGTAATTTCAGTTTCATTGTTCTTTCCTAATATCATGTACCAAACGCCTGAAAGAGGCACGTCAAGAAGTTCATTGTTATCCTCAGGACTCAGTCCTCCTTACCTAAAGAATCTCAGATGGGTCTGGTTCACTCTGTCCTTGTGCATACACTCTGACATAAGCCACACTTACACCCTTTGCCAGTGCACAAACACTTGCACGTAAACAAGGATGCATGCACAAACTTGTAATTCAAAAAACTTGCTTCTCCGATTTGACACAGCTGTGTGTTGTTGTAGTGTGGCAAACCTCTTCCAGGCCTCACCAAGCAGGATGACTGCTGTGGAAGCGTTGGTGCCTCCTGGGGTCTAAATAAGTGCCAAAAGTGTCCAACCAAACCAGGTAAGCCTGCAGCACCCAAACCACTGGCTTTAAACATTTTTTGGCTGATCTGTGTTTCATAAAAACGGGATCTCTTGTTTTAATATGAGTTGTTCCCAGCAGAATTTCCCAGTCTGGACGAAGCTAAATAAAGAGACTAATAAGTGATTTCTTTGATAAACATTTGAAGCTATTGTTTATGCTTGCTAGATTTTCTTCTGTCTTTACCGCAGACGCAAACTCAACTGATGTCTGCTGATGGTCCTCATTAAACAGCTTTGTGACTCGCCCTTGCGTCCACAGATTCAAATGAAGTGGTTTTTGCTTCCAATAAACCAAACCCAAGATGCAAATAAAAACTCATTTAGCATACAGCTTCGATCCTGGCAGGCGTGCCATCCACCCTGTGGGCAATAAGAGCCAATGTGGGCTTGAAAGAGTGAGGAAATGAACAGCTTTCCAGGCAGAGCTGTGGTTGGGTTTGAGGAGAACCAGCAGAGTGTTTGTGTGCTTCAGGCAGGGTGGGTGGCAACCCCGTTCACTTTCGGCAGGGACGGATATTCTGCGTGTGACCTGGAGTCACCGTTTGTCCCTGGGTTGGTTTTAGACCTCATGGGAAGCAGTCAGAACGTCCCTTCACATGGGAAATTAATTTATTCCTTAGTTGTATTTATTATATAACCGCCATGCCTACTCTGGCTCTCTAGCTGCCAGAACCATGTTTGACTGGACCCTAATCAGAAGCAGACACAAGCCCTCTCTGTCTCCTCCATCAATAATAGATGTCGATCCATTCCTTTCCCTCTCACTAGTCGCCTCCTTCTCGGCCTGCCAGATTCACGCTCTGTCTTAGTCTCCGGCATGATCTCTTTTGGCTCCCAGATGTTTTCCTCTCCTCCCTCCTTTGAAGTTTGGGGGTGAAAAAGAAAAGAGAATACCCCGATTGCTCCTTTCTGTTTTTGGGAGGCTACGGGTCACACGAAGAAAGGGCAGAGACTAATAGAGAGGGAATCAAAGTCAGAATGAAGTCATGTACAGTGTCCCAAAGGTTTTGGATAGAAATTTTATCAAATATACATTTTGAATTCCCCAAGAGTGTAATTATTCACACATTAGGCCTTAGGTTTATCCTGAAGCTACAGCACATTCCTTACTGATGGTTTTATTGATTGGGTTTAACAGGAATGACATGTTGCATGGGACCACTGATAAATGATGTCGTTCCTCTTATTTCAAGGTGAACGAATCAGATGTTGGCTTCCAAGTTAGAGAGAAAATAGCTTCGTGCATGTATCGTTCACCTCCTGCTGAGTATGTGATAATGAGGTCATAAAACTAAGTTTGCGTTTAGGCGTGCCAAGCTACCATTGGTCAGTTTATCGTCGGATTTCTAGACTCACTACTTCATCTTTTTTTGTCTCCAGATGCCAGTATGAACAAAATTTAATGGACTTCTGCTGCGCATAAGGCTTTAATCTTCCTTCCTGTCTCCACATTATTTCCAGTATGTTTACATCACTTGGCCCAGTATTATGCTGCTTCTGTTGCACATTTTTAGAGCAGTTGCAAGCCATTATTCATTATTATATTCTAAGGGTGTTGTGTTACTTTGATGGCAGTAAGTAAGGAGATTTTCTATGCCTGTTTATGTGAAGGAAGGCTGTCGTTAGAATGCCAGTGTGTCCCATCTTGGTGGGAGATGAAGCCTTCGGGAGCCAAGGCCTTTAGAAGTCACATGCTGAGGATTCCTGGATTAATGAGATCCAGATCAACCAGAACAGACTGTAGTCAGATCCATACCTCTGGCTGAGATGATGAGGTGGAGTAAGAAAATGGCTCTGCTCTTAGTTTTAAATCTAACATAGATCTGGTCAGACCTTTTTTTCAAATATAAGGTCAGAGTGGCTTTTGATGGCTTGATGCCAACCTCTGCAGTGATTTGGAAAGGTAATGTAAGGAGTTATAATGAACAATGATTTTTATAGTTGTGGGGTTTTCTTGAAAATACATTTTTATGACTAAAAACTTAGCTGCTCTGAGCCGTGTCTGATCCAACAGTGCTGGCAGCCCCTCCTTTGGAAAAATTGAAACTTCACAAACTCTTCACCTCCCATCTGTCACTGATGGGCAGCATCCTTCCTCAGACGCTTCCAGTCAGTGATGCTGGGAGTCTTGCCAAAAAGACAGTACAAGAGTCTCTAGAGCAAAAAGAATCCACCACACCCTCAGGAGCCCTGGCTGATTCCTACCATACATCTCAATGTTATGGATGATATATTTAACTCCCTTTTCTCTCAGTCCTTTTGTAATCAGGACACTTGTCTTCAATAGCTCCTTCAAGGCTCATGGAGCTCCACCATGTTCCTCCCTGAACCTCTAAAAAAAACCTTTCATCGGTTCCCAAGACGTATTTCCTGACATCTACAGAGATGTCAGAGCTTGTACTTTCTGATTTTATTAGCCCTGATCAAACATAAATTCTTGTGAACAGCAAAAAATAAAAACAATGAAGCTACTCGGCCACGTTCACTGGAATAACTCCAGAGCAGCTCTACTGGAATTAGATAGAGACATCTCGTGTCTCTGACAGCAACTGATTCACTGATGTTGACTTAGCGTTATCCCCTCACAACCAGAGTGATGAAGCTATTAGCAGTGTGGCTAATCAGGGCAGAATAGACCTAACCACTAGGAGAAATGAATCCCAGTTGGAGAAAGATGGATATGAAAATTACAATCCTTTTCTTAATTGAAGCCAAGCTAAGTTAAGGTTCAGGAATGTACTGTGGCATGCCTCCTATTGGAGCAAGCCCAGGTGGTTAATATTCCACAGTGAGTTGGGGATTATAGAGGAATGTGAGTCTGTTTCAAATGTGTTTGATGTGGGTTTTGCAGCCATCAATATCTCCAGTAAGGGGCGTTAATATAAATTGTCAAGCTACCCATAGGGTGGCAATGCATAGCGCCACAAATTAGCATGCTTTGTGGCGAAGAATGTAGTAGAAAAGTGAACAAGCGTTTCAACCAAGCCCTTTTGTTGCACATAAGTTGTGAGCTGGTTGTGTTAAAGCAACATGACACATCTGCACTGCTAAGGAATCAAATACAGAATTGGGCAGATTTTAATTGGTCAGAGTCAAGGTAAAAGGACGCTGACAATACAATAATCCCACGTTATTTACCAGACATGTCATATGCCCAATGCCAGATTGGTAAATGTTACCTGTGCCAAGAATTTATTCCGTTTTGAAAGAAAAGTCCTTCTTTTTAACTTGCTTGTTCCAAAAAAAGTTCCTTCCAGTTTTCTGTTGACGATACCATTTTATCTTGTGGAAGATCAGAATTTAATAGATGAAATCATCTTGAGTAAATATTGTCCTTTTTCAATTTTTTTACACTCAACAAAAATATAAACGCAACACCTTTGTTTCTGCACCGATTTTTCATTAGATGGACTTAACGATCAAAAATTCATTCCAGATACACAATATTAGCATTTCTCTCAAACATTGTTCACAAATCAGTCTAAATGTGTGAGAGTGAGCACCTGTGCTTTGCTGAGATAATCCATCCTGCCTCACAGGTGTGCCACATCAAGATGCTGATCTGACATCATGAGTAGTGCACAGGTGTACCTTATACTGCCCACAATAAAAGACCAGCCTGGAATGTGCAGTTTTTTTGCTTTATTGGGGGTCTGGGGACTCAAAACCGTTCAGTATCTGGTGTGACCACCATTTGCCTCATGCAGTGCAACACATCTTCTTCGCATCGTTTATCAGATTGTCAATTGTGGCCTGTGGAATGTTGGTCCACTCCTCTTCAATGGCTGTGCGAAGTTGTTGGATAGCACATCTCAAAAGTGCCCAACGGGTGACAGGTCCGGTGAGTATGCTGGCCATGCAAAAACGGGGACATTTTCAGCTTCCAAGAATTGTGTACAGATCCTTGCAACATGGGGCCGTGCATTATCTTGCTGAAACATGAGGTGATGTTCATGGATGTACAGCACAACAATGGGCCTCAGGATCTCATCACAGTATCTCTGTGCATTCAAAATGCCATCAATAAAATGCACCTGTGTTCGTCCATAACAGATGCCTGCCCATACCATAACCCCACCACCACCATGGGCCACTCGATCCACAACATTAAAATCAGCAAAGCACTCATCTACACGACGCCACACACGTTGTCTGCCATCTGCCCTGAACAATGTAAACCGAGATTAATCCGTGAAGAGAACACCTCTCCAACGTGCCAGACGCCATCGAATGTGAGCATTTGCCCACTCAAGTCTGTTACGGCGACGAGTTGGAGTCAGGTCAAGACCCAGATGAGGACGACGAGCATGCATTTGAGCTTCCCTGAGACGGTTTCTGACAGTTTGTGCAGAAATTGTTTTGTTATGCAAACCAATTGTTTCAGCAGCTGTCTGAGTGGCTGGTCTCAGACGATCTTGGAGGTGAACCTGCCGGATGTGGAGGTCCTGGGCTGGTGTGGTTACACGTCGTCTGCGGTTGTGAGGCCGGTTGGATGTACTGCTATATTCTCTGAAACGCCTTTGGAGACGGCTTATGGTGGAGAAATGATCATTCAATGCACGAGCAACATATCTGGTTGACATTCCTGCTGTCAGCATGCCAATTGCATGCTCCCTCAATGCTTGTGGCATCTGTGGCATTTTGCTGTGTGACAAAACTGCACATTCCAGAGTGGCCTTTTATTGTGGGCAGTATAAGGTACACCTGTGCACTACTCATGATGTCAGATCAGCATCTTGATGTGGCACACCTGTGAGGTGGGATGGATTATCTCAGCAAAGCAGAAGTGCTCACTATCACACATTTAGACTGATTTGTGAACAATGTTTGAGAGAAATGGTAATATTGTGTATCTGGAATGAATTTTAGATCTTTAAGTCTATCTCATGAAAAGTCGGAGCAGAAACAAAGGTGTTGCGTTTATATTTTTGTTGAGTGTAAATCAAGTTACATCCCTTGTTTCTATCCTGTGGATGGCATCCATCCCTCTTCTTCCATACATTCTCAGATTTACTAACCAGTAAAGAGATGTGGTTATTCTCCAGGCCTCTGGTGAAGACCCTTGTGCTCAGTGATTGATGAAGCAGACCAATGTAGATCTTTAAAAAAAAATCTTCCTGAAATCTGAGAAGTCTAAAAACAGCTTAAAATTATCCTAAAGATTTTTGATTTCTTATGGCTAAAGAACCCATCTTAATCTTTACTACCTTCTCAGAATTAGCTTGGATGAGCAGTTTTTTTTAAATAATTAAATATCCAGCAGTTCAAATGTTTTACAAGATAGACGGAGACTTCAATGATTTTGTCAAACACAAAGTCCAAAAACAACCTCAAAGAATTTAAATTACACTTTCAGGTCAGAGAATTTAGGCAAATATTGTTGAACTATCTCCACTGGAATGCCCTCCACAATTGGATGCAGACCAACAAGAAATTAGTGAAGGGTGACAAAATCTTTTGTTGGATGGAACTAAATGGGTGGACAACAGTTAGCTGGTTTTGTCTGTGGAGACTGACTAGTTTGGGTCTCTGTAACCAAGGGTGACCTCAATGATGTGCAGCTTGAGTTCTCTGTTGCTAGCTCTTGTCTAGCTCTTCATTTGAACACAAATGTTTGGGAACAAAGCATGGGAACAGCTACGTTGTTAAGCCTTCAAGGAATACCATTGTTATTTACTTTTTGTATAACAAGAAACATTTCACAGCCAAGTTGTTCCTTTTTAGACACAAAACTCAGCTAAACACTTGCCAACTGTAAAGCTTCTCTATATTTTACAAACCAGCTCAGGTCAAGGTCAGCTGGTTTTGAGCATGCTGCCCCCAGGAAGCAATGAATAACTACCACCTGAAACGAGGAACTTTGTCAGCAAATATGAGCCGATAAAGTTCAAAACCCAGAAAATCATAAAGAAACTTATCAATGTTTTGAAGTTGCAGTAGTGAAATGTATTTTCTTAATAAGGTTTTAAATCAGTGATCTCCAACTCCCTTCCCCAAGCGCTGGTATCCAGCATGTTTTACTGTTTTCCCTGCTTCAGCACACCTGATTTTAATCTGCTGGTTATTAACAGCCTTCTGCAGAGCTTGATGAGCTCCTGCACAGATGAATCAGGTGTGTTGGATTAGGGAAACAAGTAAAACATGCTGGACAACGGCCTTGGGAAAAGGAGTTGGGATCACTGCCTTTAACCATCCTCATCCTTTTGGACCGAATCTTAATTTAAAGGTCTTCTCTCTAATAAGCATTATTGAGAGTGCTGGACCTCCCCTGCTGGTCTTCATTTGGCACCCTGCTTTCACTCACACCAGACATTCCCTGATCCCTTCCCTGTAGGACAGTTGTGCCCATCGCCTTAACGCAACAACTAATTAGTCAGAATCTTTGCCGAAGGATTAGGAGAGTGTGGAGGACTACAAGGAGATTTTGACACAGTTCCTCCCATTTTATGGCCACCTCCTTCAACCTGACCCACTTCTGCCCTGTCAAACCTCAGGTACACTCACCCTGCATGGTTGACTGGGTCGCAGCAGGTCTGTAACACAAGTCAGCTTCCAGGACCTCAATCTGAGAAAACGTACCTGTGCCAGACATTCCAGTCCATCCTGGGAAAATGACACATACTTGTGACAGTTTGCTGAACCTCAAACACACTACAGTCTGAGCCTTTACAAGAAATACTAGAGTAGCACTGAATGTTCGCTGTGTTGTGTTCTTCTTCTTGGTTTTTATTTTATTTTATTTTATGAGAAGAGGTCTTATTCTACTGGCCTGCTCGGCCTCCAGATGGCCCTTTGCATCACTTTATTACATTCAGTCAAAAGTGTGGTTTGTTGAGTCATGGAGACAAACACTATATTTCCCTCTTCTCATATGTTCTCTCAACAGCAAAGATCATTTGTTACTGTAGCAAAGCTGAACTTGGAATTAAAGTCATCCTTTTCGTTGATGGCTTTGTTTCATAAGGAGCTTGTCCAAGTATCAAAGCGAAAACACAAAATTCTCACCATATTTCAACAAAAGGTTCCAGCATGCACGTAACCATATTTGCATGCTGGTGGTGGTCGGAGGCATGGACGTAATTTTTTTTGGGGGGGGGGGGGGGGGGGGGGGGGGGGGGGGGGGGGGGGGGGGTGGGGGGGGGGGCGGGCGATCCCCCCCCACTTTTTCCAAAGTCAGTTTTGACCCTGCACTTTTTACCATCCGAAAACAATATTACGCTATTTAAATTGACACTGGTTGAGCTCTAGGACCAAGCGGAAAGCCTGTTTCCCGTTAGAGCATACTGTAGAGATACAAACCCCCCCCCCCCCCCCCCCCCCGGTGTCCCCCCCCCCCACTTCTAAAGTGAAAATTACGTCCATGGTCGGGGGACCGGTGGCGCCAGTGTTCGGCAGGCCTCACCTCTGTTAGTCTGCCCAGGTAGCTGTAGCTACATCGTAGCTCATCCACACCAGCGTGTGAATGTGTGTGTTTGAATGGCTGGATGACTGATTGTGTTGTGAAGCGCCTTGGGAGGTTGTAGAATCCAACAAAGGTGCTTTACAAATGCAGGCCATTTACCATACAATTGATCATAGTTTATTATGTAGGTTATTGCCAGTTATACTGATTGATAAGCAGTTCAGCTTAGGCTTGAACTTTACTGTCAACGTTTTGGACTAAATTCTTTACATCACGTTTTTAAAAGGCAAAATACCAAAAAATAAATAAAATGATGCCTTGGTCTTTCAGGGATCTTACAACTTCTTGGTGTGAAACAAATCCTGGATGAAAGATAAAAGAATGGTCGTCTTGATTCAGAATCACAGTTAAACTAAGTTCTCTAGTCACTGTATCAATGGGGTGACAGAAATTTAAATAGACGTTGAGAAACAGTTCTATCATGCTAACAATCATGTCATCATTTCCTAAAGCTCCTTTTCAACCAAAAGCACATTTTTGCTTCAAAAATCAGAAGCTGGAAATGTAAGCATGGTATGCACAAAAACCTGTCATCTCTGTTTATGTCATGGAAAGTTCTGTTACCAATATTCACTCTGTTTCTGCTCAGAAACATAAAACTTTACACACATCAGCTCTTTGTCCCTCCTTATGTCAAACATGCAGATGCAGACACGCTCAATGAAGCACAAAAGACCCAGTTTTTACCATGTGATCATTATGTTGATCTGTCTGTACCTTTTGTGATCCACACAGGCTCAACTGCCAGCCAAGTGAATAATGGCACCAAGTCTTTGGTCATCTGGCACTCACATTCTGACTACACAGGGACTTTAACAGACTTGCTGTTGAATTTTCTATGTTACTACTGTTAATTTATTTAATTTGAATGTACACACCTGAGGAACAGACACACTGACTAAATTTTAGTGCTCTGCCTAAAACATCTTTTCCATTCTTGTTACCACAAGTTGTACATTATTTATAATAGCTTGTATGCACAGTTAAAGCAGTGCTTTTATTGCTGGTTTCCATACACTAGCAGTGGAGTCCCACAAGACTGTGTTGTTAGTATCTTCATTTTTTCTGCTCCTCACACATTTCAGCTTCATCTAAAACTCTTCTGCTGTTGACGCCTTATTAATAATACATTTTGCTCTACTAATGTAGACTTTTTCCCCCTTTTTTCCAGCATATGCAGTGATTGCAAATGGACAAGTGGAATGTCCCAAAGGTTTTAAAAAAATGAATGTCACTCACTGTCAAGGTAAGACATGAAAAGTGAGATGTTATGTGATTTTACTCGCTGTATACTGGAAAAGGATTGAAGGGAAGTCAAACTATCTACTGTATCTGTTAAAAATGGACTGTAAACAGGCTAACTCGTTACAGTCTGAGACCCTGCACACATGTAGCGAGGTACAAAAACAAAGATGACTTTCCTAGTTATTGCACGTCCAAGGAACTGTTTTTAGCAACGACATTGACAATTTGGAGAACCACTGCCTCCTACAGTCCTTGCATGCGTATAAATGTGCTTCATAATGCACTGAATCAGGTTTGGACCCAATGTTTTTCTTCTTGATGGGTGAGGGTGGATGTTTGTTTTCCAAAAACCTGTGGACAAGGCCTCAGAGTATGCAACCATGCACAGCAACATGAACGTTCAAAGGCTCAAAATAGCAATATCATCTTTCACTTCTTCATTTACAAGTGACAGGGTAAATAAATGCCTAAAATATGATTTGATCACACTGTAACTAAACTTCTGAGGTTTGCGTTGGGTCAGATGATGCAAATGTTGCTCTTTTATATTCATAATCACTTTTTAAACTAATAGCTGTGACTGCTTCCTACCACAGTTCTTACATGATTTGCAAAATGCCACAAAAACATATACACATTTAACAATGGTAATCATGATTTGGCTTTTAAGGGAACCAGATTAAGACCAAAACGAGAGGTCAGCGAAGGTGGTTAATAAGCACCTAGAGCTTTAGTTTAGATCGGGCTCAGATAAATATTGTAAATGTGATGCTATCAGTATTTTGCTGGAAGATTAAGCTAGTCGCTCTGTCCTTTATAAATGTTCCAACAGATGAAAACCTGCATAACATCCAGCAAACTCTTCTGTTTCCATGTGGCAACAAAGCTTAAAGCTCTGTCCCAAACATGGATTGTTTTCTCTTGCTGGAGCATCATAAGGGTGGCAAGTTGTCAGCTGGTTTTATAGTCTAAGAAGCAATAATCACCCACAGTGTCAAATCTGACTGTTTTCTGCTAAATAGTTTAAGTAACTTGTATTCATTGAGGTATGTAGAACAAAGGGTCAGAATTAGATAAAGACAAAGAAATAAGTCTTTTGCTGAAAGTTGCAGGGGAAAATGAACAATTTAATCAAAGATCAGGCTCAGACAACTCATGTTGACACTTAGAATAACAAAAAACAGTCTACTTAAAGCTGACTTAATTAACAGTGTCATAATCCAAAAGGTGGTGCTTACTGAAGCCTATGGAGCAAAATAATATAATGGTTCAGTGGACAGCTTTGACCACCTCTATGACAGGTTTCTTCATCTGGTTCACTAAGTTCAACATATTTACTCACCTGCACAAAATTACTGATGTTTTCCTCAACAGTTGGAGCAGAGAACAAATTCATAAACAGCAAAAACTCTGCAGAACACCTGATTTCCAGTAGTGCAAAGAGCAGCCAGTGATTGTAGGCATATATCTGTGATAATCATGTTTTCTTCAGTGATTGTTTCAAAACGTTATTCAGCTTTTGAAAGTGACTGTTAGCTTTAAAGTTTCATTCTTGTGCATTATTCCACCAAAATTCAAATTTAATGTCTCGTGCCAGCTGCCAAGGCAACAAAATGCTCATTTTCTGAGAGTCTTTTATGGCTTTTAGGATGATGTCCAGCATGCCCGAGTGTGGCTTCTATTTTGAGCAGTTAGTAGTGTGTTTTCTTGGAACAGCGCACAGCTTGTCTCATTTTCTGGAACAAGCCCAACTGACTGCTGTTGTTTGTGTACACGCTGAGAGCTGCGGTCAGTGATGTCCTCCCTGCAGCACAATAGGATACCTCATCAGAGACCCGGTCAGCTCGCTGACTTCAGAGATGATTCCTTATCTTCTGAAGCTGCATCTGGGAAAGTAGACCAGCTGAATTGGCCATTTGTAGCCGTGCTCGTTAGATGAAAGGCCCACGGAAATGCTTGTGCAGACTCTATTGTGGGTGGTAAACTCATGAGGAGAAGGTCACCTTGTGAACAAACCACTTGAAAGAAGAGCTGACAAAAGTTTCCGTGATTCTTTTGACATCAGGGATCATCTTTACGAAACAAATCTGAAACACATTTATTTTTGCATAATTTCTGGAACCATCTCTGTGTGTCTTCAGTAGCTTCTTTGGCGATATTTAGAGGTTCCTCAAAGGAGCAATACGTAAGAATTCTACAGTGAAAAAAATCACCAAACTGTCTAATGTCTCAATCATATTGGAAGGAAGGTTACATTGAAACACATTTCATTCTCATCCTACTGGAGGGGGGTGGGGGCGGGGTCAGTTTTTCCTCCTTAAAAAAACACAAAAGCTTAGGGGGAGCATAGTTTTTGTTTAGTTCTTGTATTTGTAATTTAACACCAGCAGGCGAAAAGCTCTTGTTTTAAGAACCAAAGCCAGTAAACAGGAGCGACCCAGAAGTTATTTATTGGACCAGTAAGACGCCACAGCATTCTTTTATTTTGCTAACTGCAAGACGGCAAACAACTACACTTCCTCTAACACAAGAGGAATAATAACCCTAACCATAATAAGTGTAGTAAGTGCTCTGTACTGTAAAACACCCAAGAGCACTACATATGACTATGTATTTATTTACTTATCAAATTACAGTATACGACTCGTCTTCACTTGTCATCTAGAATCTTCTGGCTGCCTTCTGATCCGTAACTGGCAACAACCATGAAACTCGTGGAACGACAGTGAGAAAGTGATTACTTAGAAAAATGTCCTGTAGTAACCAAATTTGACCACAGTATGTCATTCTTACTTTATTCTTACACGTTGCTCCTTTAAATATTAATGACAATTTTTAAATTTTTTGCCTTGTTTGTACCTTTTAACTTTCGTTACCCATACAGCTGACACATACAGGATCTGCTTACTTGCCAGGGTTCATAAATAACTCTACGAGTGTTTGCATGAACCTTGTTTTTATTTTATTTTCCAGAAGTCAAGTAGAGTCAAGGTGAAATAAATTCACAGAATTTGTTTGACACTCTGTGAACAAGTCTCTTCATTTGCAATTAGACTGTAAAAACAGTGGCAGCAAAAGCTACTTATCCCAAGCGCAAGCAGTCAAGCATGAATTCAGAACAGATCTTGAGATTAGTGCTGGTCATGACAGGTTGTCATGAAAGTCAGTTTCAATCTCAGTCAACCCACCAGCAGACTGTAACAATAACGCTAATCTGGGACTTGACCGAACAACACATTAAAGACCCCATGTGATGAGGGCTGAGCTCGGTGCTGACCTGAACTCTGACCAGGTGCTGCTTAAACCAAGACCGAGACCCTGCTGTTCCATCTTCGAGCCTCAGCAGAGGCATCAGGTGACATTTGGGGTCTGTTTCATTGTGCCTCATCCTTACTCATCCAAATGGATAGCTCATGCTAACATAATGATTGCTTTGTTTCTATTGCCGTGACACAGGAGCTGGAGGCCCTGTCATTTTAAGGACAGCCTTTGATTTAGATCAAGTGCCTCCTTGGAGAGATAAAATAACACTAAAAGAACTTGAAAGGGAAACAGAAAGAACAAACAACAAAGGGGGACATTCAGCTGTTGGATTTATTTGTTCCTTGGAATTTATCAACCCTCAATCCCTTATAAGCTCACATTTTCCAACAGGAAGCAAAACAACAAAACAAGAGCAGATTAATTAGAATTGGGAAAATCTGCGGTGGCAGGCTGTCAGGTCCCAGTCATCAAAGCACTGGGGAAAGACCTAATGATACACTCTTTGTTTAACACTGCAGAACAACAAACTCTGCCTAGACTCACTGTGATCGCATGAGTTAGCACCTCAGATATGTCCCCTATGCTCCTGCTTGGCAAATTAACTGGATTATATACCTTCAATTGATTTAGTGACTCAGAAGCTGCTGGAGCGGTAGAAAGACTTGTCTGGCTTCACTTTAAAACTCTGAATCCAGACAGACAGAAAAAAAAACACATGAAAACTTCAATTTATTCATGTAAACTAAGGATACTATTACATTACACTTTAAGACAAACAAAAACTGTTCTGAGATGACCTTTGTGTGTGAATGAATTTGAGTGTGTTTTCTTTTACGCTGGTCAAATTCATTTTGCATGTTTCCCCCTTGTCTTCTCTCCTCCTCGCCTTTCAAACAACCGTGTAACCTTAAAGTTTCCACGTTTCTCCATCTCTCAGCAGATCGCAGTGCATGATGATGTATTGCAAACTTTTTGATTTCTGTTACTTTCATCGTCTGCTCTGGTCTGCAGACGTGGAGGATTTGTGGGGAGTGTAGCTGACTAAATCTGCTGTATGGAGTTCATCAGAGCATTTCAAAAACATGCAATTTTTCTGAGAAAGTAGTATGGCTTGTTTTAGAGAATGTGCTTTATAACTGATGACTGATAAACTGTATGATTTGCAGACATCAATGAGTGCCTGTTGCCTGGGATATGTAAGAATGCTGAATGCCTCAACACCAAAGGAAGCTACAGGTGCACATGTAAGCCAGGTTACATGTTGGATGCTGCCAGAAGCCACTGTGTCTGTATGTGTTGCATTGTGTCTTTAAGTTTAAATGCAAATTTCATATTTCCCTATAAAATAACTAATGCATTTACTTTTCCTTCAGCGGACAAAGCAGTGTCTGACCACAGGTCTGCATGCTACCGCTCAGTTTCAGCAGGAAGGTGCTCTCTGCCTCTTGCATACCACATCACCAAGCAGATCTGCTGCTGCAGCCGGGTGGGAAAGGCCTGGGGAGACGGGTGTGATCGCTGTCCTCTGCCAGGTTCAGGTACAGTGCAAAAAGCTACTCTTTGCAGCAGCTGTAGGCAAGCTTCCTCCAACTGCAAACTCAGATGTTAAAGTTTGATTTTATGGGACCATCTGAGGAACTCTTTGCTGGCCTAAATGCTTTTGCAGTTACACATTTGTTCTTATGTAATGGCAAGCAGCACACAAGCATAGACTATTTACCACTCGGTCATCATTCTCATCTCTGCCAGGCATGTAAAGCATCTGAAAATAGTTAAATGTGTTTAGAGTGTAAATGACCAAAAACATAACAGCTGACATATTCTGGAGGCTATGTAATGATGAGAGTCGGTCCTGTGTTATCGCAGCAACCCTCAGAGAGAAACCCCACTAATATACTGGCAAAGCTGCACAGCAGCGATTCAGAGCAATGCCAAGTGAAACATGGGAAGTGGGTGTCATCTTTTTTACTTTCCAGACCTTTACTTCAAAAGTCTCAGAGAGAAGCAAGATGGTTTTATTCTAAAGTGTCTGAGCTGGCCAGTGGTTGATGGGGTTTGGGATGGATCCGGTATTACACGCAGACCTCCGTGGTGCTGCTGGACGTAAACACAACCTCTGGTTATTTTAGATGGGGTTTTGCACAGTTGGACAAGCTTTTACAGCTGTGCTCGGAGCAAGGCGGCTAGGCCGATTACTTGTGACTCAGTAAAAGAAGTCCTACCGTATTTACTCCAGATCCTCTGATGTGGATCCTCACCATATATACTCTCATTTCCACTCACCTTAACTTAATCATTCAGTAGCCAATCATATCCACATTTCCTGCATTTACACCAGCCACATGTCTGTCATTACTCATATCTCTATTCCAGAGTCTTCTGGCATTGAATTGCTGGTTTCAGGTCAGGTAGGGAACACAGAGCCTCTCGCTTGTAATGAATTCACCATCAGTGAAGTTTGTTGGACTCAGACACAAAGAGGTGCAGTCTCTCTCCTTTTATCTAACTAGCCGATCTTCCATTAGCCTCTCACTCTCACACCTCTACCCCAAACCACATGGTATTTCAGTTTGCCTTCACCATATAAATATACTAACAGCGGTCATCAACTTGTAACCTTTGGGCCATATCAGGCTGGCAAACTCATTCTGTCCAAACCCTAACCCTTTAAATCTGTCACGAGTCGGTTACTCGCTTTAAATGTGATGCGTCTCATCAGGATGCAAATCCCACATAGGACATATACAGTTTTTGTGTCATTCCAGGACACATTTAGCTTCTACAACTTGGGTTATATTTTCAGACAACTTTTACTTATAGACCAAATTAAGTCTAATTTTACCCTTCATATCTATAGACTAGACGTTGTTTTAGACATCAAGCCCTAAGACATTCATCGACTTGAGCCCTGGGTTGCAAGAATTAAACTTTCTTAATGGGGAAAAGAACGGTAATTAAGTTGAGCTGTAATCAGGAGGCCATCTAAATCATCCCATGGTTGGATTTTTTAAATAAAAATGCTAATTTTCTTATGTAATTTTCTGCATTTCTTGTTTCCACAGCAGAACCTTCTCAGTCACAAAGGGGAAAAACTTGCCTTTGAAACAAATTTATGAGTAGAAATTGCGATAATAAAACTGATTTGTCACAATTTTCAGAAATAGTTAATAAAAGTCTTAGATTAGGTGTGTTAGGTAAATATGCTGTAAAAACAGAAAACAAGCTCTTGATTGTTTTTTCATGTTTGCTTCTTGTCCAACAGACCACTTCAAGGAGATCTGCCCAGCTGGTCATGGATACACTTACTCGCGCTCGGACGTGCAGATTTCTCTCAGACAGCTGGAGGATGATGAGCTGCAGAGCACGGGCGTGGCTCTAGATGAGCACTATGAGTTCCCATCCTCTCAGCCCACGAGACACCATCAAACACCACATATGCCCCAATATCCCGAGACACCACAAGCTCCCCGGTACCCTCTGACTCCACGGCATCCTCCTCATTCAGGGAGAGAAACCTTTCAAGATCCTGAAGGTAGCTTTTATGTCTTTAATAATACTTTTAGTCAGAACCCAAAGATAAACAGGATGTCTTTCATCTCCATGAATACATTTTTTATCTAAACGTAGAAAGTCTTCATTCCATGGGATGAAACTCTCAGGGGCTTTTCAGACTTTCCCAAAGTTTCTGGGTTAATTATTTACACGTTTTAAAGTTTTTAGCGACGTATTTTCCTGAAGTTTATTTTTGACAAGCAAACCTATATATGCAAATAAATAGTCTGGCCACGACTCCTAAAAATAGCTCAGTCATGTGGAGGAAACTACAGTTGCCCTTCAAACTGTCTCCACACAGAATTAGACAACACTAGGGCCAATCAGAGCAAGAACAATGAGACGTATTAATCGCTACAGAAATCATTCAATGAGGCTGTCTGACATACACCGTCAAAGGAGTAGATCCTTTTTTGAAATAAATGACTTAAATACCTCTAGCTGCTCATGTCTCAAAGAAAAGCTCAAGTGTAAATCGTCCAAAGTTGATGCCAAAGCCGTTTATAAAGTTCCTGAGCTGACGCCATCTTTGTAGTTTTTCTCCATTGCAGCGCTGTTGCTAAGTCAACCGAACATCTTTCTATAAACATAGAGCGCTGTGATTGGGCCGACCTACACTTAGTCGAGCCAATCAGGGGCGCAGATAGGATTTTCAAACTGGGGACAAAGTTCCAACGTACCCTCGCCCAAACACACACACACACACACACACACACACACACACACACACACACACACACACACATACACATACACAAACTATTGCAAGCACCCTAACTAGAGCTCAGTCAGTTTGTGTAATTTCATCCAATGGTTTATGTAAAAACGAACACTTTTATATACGTGTTTGAAGCCGTTATGCAGCGGATCGCTGACAACAAAGCTCCGCCTGATCAACACTATAAATGATAAATGATCCGCACTTGTATAGCGCCTCTCAGAGTAAGGACTCCAAAGCACTTTACACTACAGTGTATCATTCATCCATTCACACACACATTCACACACTGATGGTGATGAGCTACGATGTAGCCACAGCTGCCCTGGGGCGCACTGACAGAGGCGCCCCACTATTTAAATCAGTCGTTTGTTTTTCTCCCAATCAGTTACTAACCAAAACCTCATGCTTTATGCAAAATATTAAATGATTTTCAGCACACCAATCTTTACAGAAAACATAAAAGCCCTAAAAAACGGCACATAAAATATATTTAAAAAACCAAATTCACTTATCACTTAGAGAAGTAGTTCCCAAACTTTTCTGCCTGACCAACAGATGTTCCTTCGTATTTTTACATTATTTAGAAATTTTCATTATATTTGGAAAGTTTTTATTTATAAATAAATATATAAATCTCTTTTTAAATTTTATATTTTACTTTTTTTATGATTATGTGGCACACTTTGACTTCCATACATAACACATAAGCATCTGCCTCTTTTTTACGCCTTTTTTTTTACATTGTCGCTACGTCTGTCACATTTGCGGTGTTTTACCATAATTTCTACATCCATCATGTCCCAGAGAGGGTTACACCAACATCAAACCCAACGTTTGGAGCTTGTAAACTCCACACACCTCTCGTGCAGCACCAGCTGTCTGATGCTGCAGCGGCGTCCATTTTCCCGGCTGGATAAGTGAATTTCTTCAGCAGAGTCAATATTCTGCTTCATAATCAGAGTCAGTCATTACCAGACAAAGTGATCAGTCAACAAAGACCAGACCTGCTGGCAATTATACGTTTTATCTCATATTTGCGATCTTCATGTTGCGCACATCTTCTCCTCTCCCCGACTGGGAGCCTCACGGCGGGAGGCGATTTTCAAACTCTAAAATCTCCCAAACTTTGCTCAGCCTGAAGATTACACATCTCCACTTTCTTTTGGTGTAAAGTAACTTCATGAGGGATCGTATTTGTAGATGAGACTTGTTAAAGTCAGCAATGAGGCTTTGGTGCTTATAATGAGTAAGTCTCAACACTGACAACAACGTACTGAATCTATAACCAACATGCATAAACGGACAGATCGGTCCCGCCTACTTACACTGTTGGTCTTTTTTTTAAATACGCAGTAATCGTTGTTCGCCTTTTTCGCTTCATCCTGCATCCTAGCAGCAACCACTTTGGCGCCTTTGGAGTCTGTTTGTTTACGTCATCCTGTATTCAATGTAATTGGAAAAAGGAATCTGGGGGGGACAGATCCCCCCCGTCCCCCACCCTATCTGTGCACCTGGAGCCAATGGTAGACCTTCTAAGGCTACAGTAGAGTGTGGCTATGCATCCTGCAGAGAAAATTGTGTAGCTACTGCTGGTTTGTTTAGATTTATAGGCAACATGTTTAATATATTTATGCACACAAATCTGTAAATGTTTAGGGATTTTAACAGGTGGGAGTGAGTGCGTCAGTGGGACTAGATATATCAATAATTTCTGTAGTATCTCGGGTGCTCTTCAAGATCATAACAACATCAAAAGTAGCTATGGAAGAAAAAAGTCATGATCTGAGGCACTCCGAAAAATAATTTACTATAATATAAGTCGATGCGTTTTGGTCGCGGGCGACATTTTTCAGGGCATAATCCCCTGAAGAAGGTCGCACGCAACCGAGACGTTTAGGGATTCTTGTCTGAATTATCAGAAATCTTTCTTTCTTTCTGTGTTTTCTGTTCTTCCTAAATGCAAATCATAAATCTTTGAGTTAGGTGCATAAAAGGAACATAGTAATGTGTGTTTTAAATTGTGCTTGTTCATTTGAGCATGATGCTGATTTTTTTACAATTAATAACACTTTAAATTTCCCTTGCAGATGAGGAAATCTTGGCCTCGGTAAGTTTTTCCTTTGACAGCTGTGAATACATTTGAAATATTGGTCTTAGATCAGTAAGCTGAGGCTGTGTCACCTAATGGCCTTGTCATGGTTACAAAACTAATTCAGACCACATTTTGGTCGACACACACTCCAAATTAGCATTAACTTTACCAACAAGAGCAGATCTGAATGCGAACACGGTGATGAAAAATGCAACTCTAATTGTTTTGATGGAGTATGTTTGCTTGTCCTCCAGCCAGCTGTTGTGACTGACTCACCACTGAAATATCCAGGTAATTTTTTTTCTCCTTGGCTTTACTCATACTCGTACTACAACAAGTGTCTCCAAACTGTTGTTTAAAGCCTCTCGTGATTTGATTTGGCCTTTGAGTCAGGCGCAGACATGTAACGTGTTTTCCATGAATTTCCCCCTGCACTGCGGTGGCAGTCTCAGCCCTTGTCCTCGCGCCAGAGAAAACATTGACGTTAAAGTCTGAAGTTTGACTGCATCCAATGAGTCATCCTGATTTATTCTAGTTATTGTAATGCTTTACCCTGGAAAACAAGACTGGGTCATTTCTTTACTATTAAGCAATGAGTGGCGGCTGAGGGAAACAAGAGGTGTCTTGTTTTAGAGAACTATCGCTGTAGGAGACAGTGTTAGCCCGTTAATAAGACTTAATAGTCAGAGCATATATCAGATTCTTAAGTAAACATTGCTTAACGCATGACTCACAGTGAGTTAATGCCCAAATTACTGCAGGATATTTAATAAAATCCTGTTACTCACTATGACTTAATTATCACCACACTGTGAATTAATGTGATTACCTAAAACCCTCATAGATCATCACTTAATGAATGTCTATTTGTTTTTAAACCAAACAAAAATTAAAGGCGTAGCATTTTTTGAAGGAATGCAAATTGCATTATGTCTTTCCTGCAAACTAAGATCACCTTATCCTGAGAAGTAGCGTTTTTTTTTTCAGAAATGCTGTTTTAATGCTGAGTGCTGACAAACATCACTGATAACTGCTGGAAATCTGTTAAAGCGAAAACTGGACATAATATCAAAAGCTGAGTAATACAGGAAAAGCTCAAAGTCTTTAAATGAAGCCTTTCACTTCTTTTTGAAAAGCAGAAAGTTTTAGCTAACATTTCAAACTGTTTATTTCTAATCAGCCCAAAACATTCACAAAAAGCTGACCTTCTTAAAGAAGAATTCAAAACAAAAATCATAGGCTGAATGCTTTGTTTCATAATTTGTTAAAACTGCTGGAAAATCGTAGGAGACAATCCAAAATGTGTGGAAGACAAACTTTAAGTGTGTTGTGAATGACTCTCAGCTAATATAATGACAGCTTTTAACTCGGTTTGATTACAATTCAACAAGTTTGAGCTTATCTTTTGCTAATCTTGACTGATACTCCAAACATTCAGGGGCGTGTCCAGGGAGTGGCCTGGGGTAGCAAATGCCACCCTTGGAATCTGATTGGCCACCCCAGGTGCCACCACTTTGAATTCCCTTTAAATGGGTGTTTCATTGTCTACAAAAAGCTTAGAGTAAAATAAATAAATAAATAAAATAAAATAAAAAGCATAATCATTGGTGCCACCCATGCACAAAGTAGTGCCTAGGTGCCTCACCTGGGCCACCCCATTTTAAAAGATCTGGACATGCCACTAACATTTATCAGCTCTAGTTAGCTAATCTTTGAAATTAATTCAGTTGTTTATGTAATATTCTGCTAAAACCATTGAAAAACAGTAATAGTAATAATATACTACCATTATCGGTATCGGTATCGGTGCATCCTAATCTCTTCCTTTCACTTCACAAAAACTGTCTTCTTCTTCTGCGCTTCATAATCGTTTTTTTGAAAAATGTAACCAGTCACTAAAAACTAAACTACTTTGAAAAAGTCTAAAAGAGACATTCATGTGATTGTACTTATAGTAAAATAAATTAAAAATACTTGTCATTTAGTAATGATCTAATATTAAGTGATTGATTCTTTTTATGAAGTTAGATAGTAACTCCATGCATCATATTTGATGGACACACTGTAATAATATGTAAATGAAAAAAGTAAATGGAGGAAATTTTCAGACCCTTATGAAAAAAGATCAAAAGTATATTTTATGTTTAAATTTGCTGAAATATCAAATAACAGCAAATTGGTGTGCATTAACTGGCACTAGTTCTTTATGGGCTGCTTTGTTTCTCTATAGAAACTTCTCCAGATTCCCCAAGCATCAATCTGAGGCCAGATTCAAAGGAAACAACTCCAAGAGTTTCCGTCATCGGTAAGATATGATGTTAAAAAAATAGTCAGTAAAGAAAACACGTTTTGTCTAGCCATGTTGGGTACCATTTTTAAACCAAAGTGGCACACGGGGAGGAGGTTTTAGCACCACCATGAAAAAGAGCAGCTTGAAGTTCAATTCTTCATTTTTATGCTCTCTGTCCACAGCTGGCAGCTGCAAACATCTTACGAGGCATTTTTGCAAGCTTACCCAAAGCAAACCCTTCGAGAGCTTTATTTGACCCTATATTTCTGAGCCAAATTGGCTTCATGTGGATGTGCAGCACAGAGGGTGAGAGGGTGAGAAACCAAAAATGAGTGTTCCTCTTGGAAGGATGAGCTGTCCCAAGTGGCCAAAGGCCAGATTCATAAAACATGAAGGAAGAGACAAGTGACAGGCTAAATGTGTGTTTGTGTGACAGGAATATTGGAAGCAACGGAGCATTTATGACAGTAGGATAAATTACGTTTGTCTCACAGAGATAATGTTTTTGTCCTCATGTAGCCACCGGGAGGCCAGCGTCACGCTTTTTGGATAGAAAAAAGACAAGATCAAAATGTCTGGGTCTGTGGCGCATGGCCTGTATTTTTTTACTCCCAAGTCTTTGTAAAAGTGCCACGCCGCCTGTCAGAACACTACATTGCTGTAAAACCACTCCTGTCATCCAAAACTCCACCTATAAAAAAACAAAATGGCTATCCATGGAGAGCAACACGTGTTAAAGGAATTCCTTTTTCTATCTCTTTAAATGTTGGGTCAGAAATAGAATTCTCTGTGTTCTTATGACTTAGCATGTGTTTTACCTGCTTTTTCACAGGTACTAACACCTGTGCCACATCGCCGGGTATATGTGGTCGTGGAAAGTGTGTTCCCGTGCAGACCGGTTACACTTGTAACTGCGAGCCTGGATTTAAGCTCAACGCCCTGCAGACCAACTGCATTGGTAAGTAATAACAGGAGCGAGAGATGAATGGATCAGGACAGGGAGGAGAGTGGGATGTTCGAACACACTCCAGAGACCACAGCTGCTTTTTCTGTCATCAGAGCAATGCAAGCAAGTCCTGGCAAAGGGTTCGTAGGAAATGATTGGCCCAGTAGGGACACTAAGTTACTTCTGCATCATGGGTCCCCGGAAGAGCGAAAAAATGAATGCAAGTCAACAGGGCTAAAAACCTTATTTTCTAATCCGCTTTGCCTTACACCCTGGATCGCACATATGATGCACTGCAGTTTAAATGAAAACTATTGATGGGTGTTTCGACCACGGCAGTCACGTACTTTGAGATTTATTAGCTTGTAAAAGTTCGTAATTAGCATGACTACAAACTAGAAATCAGCACGTGGCATATGTGACGTCACCACATAATCTCCTCTCCCCAAAGTAGCCGCTACTTACCAAATGACCAGATTTATGGTGGTTATTTCCTCCTGTGGGAAGTTTGCTGAACTTACAGCCATTTTCCCTCAGTTTTCTCCGCATCTGGTTCGATGACGTCACTTTTGTGAAGCGCATTTGTAGTCCTGGACTTATTTTCACACAAAACCTAAAATACCATTTCCCCCCGTACGAAAAGAAGCACATTCTTGGTATCAAAATGCGTCTTTAAAATTCACGGACATCATATGAGAAATCCATGGCACAAAACAAACAGAATTAGAAAACAGCGTTTTTAGCCCCGTTGACTTGCATTAATTTTTTCATTCTTAAGATAAGATAAGATAAGATAAGTTGACCTTTATTAGTCCCACAAGTGGGAAATTTGTTTCGTTTTCAGCCAAGCAAAGTAAAAGTAAAAGTTATGCTGCAGAGGGAGAAAAACATTAAAACATTAAAATACAATAAGACCGACCGCAATGAGATAAAATAAACTCAATACAATAGACAGTTTATACCTTAAGAATGGGTTAAAAAATAATAAATAATAACCATACTAGATACAGCTAGAAATACAGAGTACACTTCATCCGACAGATTTGTTGTAGAGTCTGACAGCAGTGGGGAGGAAAGACCTCCGGAATCTCTCTGTCCCACACCTTGGGTGCCGCAGTCTCCCACTAAAGGAGCTGCTCATAGCTGTCAAAGTCACCTGCATGGGATGGGAGATATTGTCCAACAATGGTCCGGAAGTGACATAGGCTCCCTATATGTCTTGCAGGAATGCATATTACCCATCCTTTGTCTGACTTTTGAATTAAGATCATCTCATGTTGAGGAATAATGGAGTTTTAACTGTTTTGTTTGAATCTGGGAAATAACAGATTTCAAAAACAAAATTTAATGACACTTTTGTTTTTAATGCTTCTGTTTGGATACAGGATCAGGAGCTTTTCAGAGATATAGCAGCCTACTTTACGATGGTCCACTGTTACTTCATACACTAGAAAATAATTTAAAACACACCCAACTTTACCAGGTCTTATGAATTGCTTTATTCTGATACTTTTCCCTAAGTGGAAAGGATCCTATCTGACATAACATTGTAACTGGTAGAAATACGATTTGTGAGAGAATCACACGGGAAGTTAGGGGTGGGTGGATTAATACAAATATCAAGAATATCAATTACCACTATTATTAATGCTCATCTTCTTCTGTAAACTCCTTTTGATTTACGACCTTTTTTACCCTCCTTCTCAAGTAGAAGGAGTTGTTGACCACTGGCTGGAGTTCTCATGATGGCAAAGAAAGGAGGATAAATGTTTACAGCCAGTTTAATGTTGATAATTTTGTAGAAATGAAATTCGTTTATATAATTACTTCTTGTTTAGCAAAAATCCTTATGTTCTGTGGTTTATTATAATTATAATAATTGTGGTCAGCAAGACCAAATCACAAAACCAGTCAATGAACTTCAAATTGAAAGTAGAGACTTGATATTGATACTAGTATCAGTATCTGCAGTACTAGCAATGTATTTATGGGTAATGGATCGACACCAAAAATCAGGGAGCTGAATATGTTCTTTTTCTGTACTTTTAAATAATTTTAATGTGGGTGCCATAGACAATTAGTGGTGTGGTGGAAGTATTTCAGCATTTTTCTAAAAAGACAAACAAAAGATTTAAAATAGTGTCCATAGACATGAATTACGTAGATGCCCCATAGCCGCCATAAAGGATGGGTCTCCTCACTCTCCAAAGTCAATGCAGAGTGAGCAACTTTGCCCATTTTTGTGCAGCCTATAGTTACAACAACCGGCATACTATTGAAAACAGATCACATTGTGACTTTTCTAGCATACCTAATGGGATTTTATGTTTGAATGTATTTTTTTATTTATTTTGTATAATTATATTTATATTTTATTTATCGTGCTAAACCTTGTGTCTGAATTTGTGAAAAAGCTTCATTAAATGTGTTTTTTAGATGGGTAAGCACCTTCCTCAGTAGAAACTAATGCATTGGGGGTGAATGGAGACCCATCTAAAATGGCGGCCGGCCACTACGGCAGCTCCAATAGGCAGCGGGGCGTCTACATCTATGATGTCTGTGATGGTGTCAACATGACCTGAGAATGTAATTAATATCTGTCCATTATGCCTTGAGATATGTTGCTAATTGAATCAAAGAGGTAATGGCGAAGTCTTAAAGGGGCATTATGGAAGTTTGACAGCCAAAACACGTATAGAAATAATAAATTTCTTCTTAATACATTCTCCTGGAATGCCCTGGTCCTGTAGAATGAGCCCTGGCATTTTTACTGTGATTTCCTGTTTTTCTGTAAAATCACAGAAAAAGAGAGATGCTTGGGTCGAGCAGGCTGCTTCACGCGCGTTCACGCTCAGGCATCGCCCGTAGTATTTGCTATCCGTAGCTTTAGCAGCAGAGAGAGAGGCAGTGCCAACTCAGAGACGTTGTCGCTGTTCCTAACGCCTAGTGACGAACCTAGCTACATTTCTGAGGACCCTTAGCTACTTTCTGTAGAACTTTCTTCTAGATATTTCCTGCAAATTAGCAACAAAATAACCATTTTTGCTCCGAACCGTTCTTTGGTTTGATGTTGTTTCAAGTGTCATCTAGGATATAAAAGTTACAGATATTATGGATGTTACTGGTGTGTAGCTCACCTTGTAAGATGTCTGACTCTCAGACTAAAGACCTGGGTTCGATTCTGGATGTGAACATAGTTTATTTAGTTTCTTTTTTACATTAATGATAATTTTTTTACAGTAAGATGCCCAAATTTTTATTTGAGACTCGCCGAACGGCATTGAATTCACAGATAAAAAAGATGTGGGTTCAACTTTCATTTTGGAACAATTTTTCAAGCAAGAGAAGGGAATGATCTGAGCATGCAGGACTCAGCCATCTTAAACCGTTGTCGGCTGTGCTGAAGAGAAAGGTACAGAACCAAATTATTTAATTAATTAGCTGCGCGTTCTCCTGTCCTCTGTCCTCCGGGCCACACACACACACACACACACACACACACACACACACACACACACACACACACACACACACACACACACACACACACAACTGTCTCAGCTGTTATTTTCGTTAAGGAGTGTGCACGTACAGCATGCGCACCTCGCGCACGAGCCTACTATTGAAGCTGTCGTTACGCTTTTGGCCTGAGGGGGCAATCACGAGCATAAAAATTCAAAAGTCCGTAAAGTCCCTTTAAGTGAAAAATGTTGTTCAATGTGTAGTTTTTTGAATATTTGATGAGGCTAACTGTCAGCTATCATCACACCAAATTTCAGGTCATTATTAGTATGATTGGCAGAATTAGAGCCCTATTCTTTAGGCTAAGTTTGATTAAAAAAAATCTATCCAGTAGTTCTTGGGATATTTTGCAAAAGAGAGCATGCACACACAGAGGAATGACAAAAACATCTTTATCCTTCCCAGAGGCCGTGGATAAAGCTTTTATTTCACTCAGCCTGGTTCAAGCACCGTGCAGTGCTCAGAAGCTCCCAAATCATTTATTTAAATGTGCTCAGTGTGTTTTGATAAAGGCATCAGTCGTCTACTCCACCTCTTTCCTCAGATGTGAATGAATGTGAACTGGACCCATGTGAAGGCAAGGGCCGCTGCATAAACAGCTATGGCTCCTACACCTGTCAGTGCCACAGCGGCTACAGCCAGGTGATCACTCAGAACAGGAAGTTCTGTCAAGGTAAGACACAGTCCAGTTTGCAGGAGCAGAAATTTTGCTTCCAACGCAAACACAGTCTGTTCTTAACTCTCTTTGTTAAATCATTTTAAGTTCTTGTCCATCAGCACCTCGCATTTAAAAAGCATCCTGTGGTGATTAAAGTGGAGGAAAACTCTCATTTTGAACTTCTTCTTGGTTTGTGTTCAACTGGCAGACATTAATGAGTGCAGTATGCCCAACAAGTGCCTGAATGGTAAATGCGTCAACACTGAAGGATCCTACGCCTGCGAGTGCAACAGTGGCTATGCCAAGTCATGGAGAGGCCTGTGCGAAGGTGATTCATCATTGCCAAATGACGGAGTTAAATAACACAATTTAAGCATTTCCTGTTTGTTTGCTGCTATCATTGTGGGGATTTTCCTACAATCAAAGCCAGTAAGAGAAGTTTGGACTCTCCACAACAGAGAAACTTATCGTTTCTAATCCAACTGTCTTTTTCCTTGCATTGCTTTGCCCAATGTTTGGCTAACCTTGTTGTTGCCTTAATTGATGCTTTCATTTTCCACCCTTCCCTTCAGCAGACGTAGATGAGTGCAGAGATCCCAGCTCTTGTCCCAACGGTATCTGCGTCAACACTGTTGGCTCCTTCCAGTGCCAGGCCTGCGGCCCGGGATTAAAACCCATCAATGAAAGATGTGTAGGTAAGCCAAGTTCACACCCCATCAAAGCAGCAGGACCACTAACACCCCCCCTCCCCCCCACACACACACACACCCCACCCCCCACCCATCCAAGAGTCCTAAAGGTGTTTCCATCTCCTCCATGGAAACAAGCCGGGTCTCCCTCTGACACAACAATAGCTTCCTGTGTTGGGTAACATTTAAACTGATGTAACTGCTGCTCTTTACTGGCATTACTGAGAAGTAAAAAAATAGGCAGCATGGCAGCAGCCCATGCAGTTTAAGACCTGTCAACAGCTTATAATGCAGTGCAACTGACCAAGTAGCACGAGCTGAATCAAATCTGCAGCCTTGCGGCTTTCTTGCTCAGAGGGACGCTCTGACTAGTGATGTGCATGAAAATTAAAAGTTAAATGAACGTTTTGGAGGACTTTATATTGGACATTTTATGGACAGAGTGAAACATTCTTGGGGTCTCATTATGAGCCAAAACCACAGCGGTCATGGTCATAAAGCACGGACCGAACACAACCTTCTTCATTCGTCTGGTGTCCAGTATCTTCCTTTAATCTCTCTGTCTCTCTGTATTGTTTAAACACATTTATGATGTTATTGCCGGTCCACTGATATCTGTAAAAATACTGTTTATAATACTTCAATTTGGTAGAGTCCAAATATTTTCTCTTGGCTGCAGCCTTAAAAAAACAGAGTATTATTTTTGGAGGGCCCTGGCCACTGTAATGTGGAGCCCAGTAAAGGCCAGCATGGCTTCATTACCACTGTTGGGGTAGGTGAGAGAACTGAGCAGTCACACGAGACATATGAGAGGGTCAAAAGGTCAATTCCCCACTGCAGAGGTGGTTCACGGCACGTAAACAAATCTCTCTCACCCATGATGATGTCGGCTATCCAACTTTCAAACTCCTAAAAGGGATTAGAATGGACTACACAAACGATCGCCGGCTGCACTTGGTGAGTGTTGTGTTTAAACTAGCACACACCCGGAGCTCCCAACTCGACAGTATCCTGTTGCATAACAGCTCGACTGGTGTTACTTACATCGTCTCCTCTGTATGACCTTGCACACCTCTAATTTTTCTGGAAACCTAAGCCTTAGTTGCAATCCAACAATGTGCAATCTTATAGACAAATGATGGAAATGGAGGGTAAATTTTGTAGTACTTTTCTTTAAAGTTTGAAGATGTCGTTGTCTCCAAAAAAAACACATTTAAGCTTTTTTTTAATTTGTCAATCTGCTAAAAGGGTTCATTCTGACTAAATCTGTTTGTATAAAAGGGGAGGTAAGCGTTTTTGCTCTTGATGGTCCCAAAGGCAGCACTAACAGGTGTATATTTGACACAGTGGGAGTTGCATAAAACAGGCAGTGCTCGGTTTCCCGTGTTTGCTTCAGTCACTTGCTGATATGAGTGCAGTCGTTTAGGCCCAATTGGCCAAATCGAGGATAAGCCTAATTGTCGATGTGATAAAACCTCTCCTTTCCCTTCTTGGGGTTTATTGAGGAAGCCTGAGTGATGCAGAGTGATCGTAGAACCACCGGTCCGCTTTGACAGATGGCTGGCAGTGCCCGTGGCTAGAAAAACAATACACGCTCTGTGACTTCTCCTTGTTGTTTTGACTGTGTGTGTCAGGATCTGTTTCAGCTCTCAGCCATGTCCTTCCTTCAAAGTTTTTATCTTTTTTGCAGGAACATGCTTCCTCTCTCTCCTTTTCCTTCCTCTTAGAAGATCTCCATCTCTCCTGCTTTCAGCACAAACTCAGTAAATCTTTAAAATACTGGATGAGTCCCACTAATAAAGCAAATAGTCTCTGGATTGTCTGTTTGGACTCATTAAGTGCAAATAGAAAGTCTAGTGGAACCTGTTTGTGAGTGAGGTTGATGTAGTTTAATGAGCACAGTTATATTTAACTCTTGAATCATGATTTATTATTCTGAAAACAAATGTTATTAAGAAAATGTGGATATGTTTTTACACAAAAAGAAAGATTTTGCAAATGGATTAGCGCAGGCCCTGCAGCACAAAATTAAAAGCAATAAAATTACATTAATAGAACAGTGGAACAAAAATACTGCATTCTTTTTACGTCCAGTGACAAAAAAAGTTGTTAAAAGATTTGTATTAAATTATTGTTTTCTTTTTCTTTTTTCCACTGATTTGGTCCCTAAATTGTACAGTTTGCATGCAAATGAAGCCTAAAATCAATTGTTCTTTTCTTTTTCTTGTCTTTAGATGTAAACGAGTGCCTGAATCAAACCGTGTGTGGTCATGGTAGGTGTGTCAACATGGAGGGATCCTATAGATGCAACTGTTTCCACGGCTACAAACTCTCGCCAGACAATGTTTGCCAAGGTAACTTCCTGTCAGAAGGTCAGCGGCACATTATAATCTCTGCAAATCAGAGAAAGAGCTCTGTGAATAGTTCTCAACTGCTCTAGTGCAGAAAACTTTGAGCTACCACCAAAGGCTATAAAACAGCTGCCCAAGAGTTTGTGGTTGTCTTTATTTTCTGAATCCTCCATCTTCTCCCCTTCGCCATATCTTTCCTCCAGATGTGGATGAATGTTTGCTTCCGGGAGTTTGTCTCCACGGCCGCTGTGTTAATCTTGAAGGCACCCACAGATGCACGTGTTACCATGGTTACCAACTCACCTCAGACAGCAAATCTTGTGAAGGTCTGCAAATAATTATGTATCGCTATTGAATGTAGCTCCTCACCGCACATGTAGTTCTCCTCTCGTGCAACAGTGTAATGTCAGCAGAGAACTTCTTTTTGTTAGATGTCAACGAGTGCACAACGGGCACCGCCTGCCCTGCGGGAATTTGTATCAACACTGCAGGTTCCTACACCTGCCAGACCTGCAAGCCTGGGTTTGGACCATCTGCTGATGGACTGCGATGTGAAGGTAAGAAAATAGCTGTCTAATGGTTTACAATAACCTGCAGTGATGTAGAAATATTGGTGGATACTGATGAGACATTTGCCAACTTGCAGTAAATTGTTTCTTTTTGTCTCCAGATGTTGATGAGTGTCAGGGTGGCTTGTGCTTTGGAGGTGTGTGTGCCAACACAGAGGGATCCTTCACTTGCACCCAATGTAAAGCTGGCTTCAGGTTGTCTGAGGACCGGCGGACATGTGAGGGTAAGTTCAGCCTCCAGTTTTTCATTCAGTAAAACCATTAGAGCTGCTAAAAACGTACTCAACGCACCTCTCCACTTTGTCAGTTCACTGTTATTCACATATCCCGAGTACTTTAACCATGCATGCATGTGTGGGTTTCCCTCAGATATTGATGAGTGCCGGTCCTTGTCTACCTGTGCCAACGGGATCTGTCTAAACTCTGAAGGGTCTTACACCTGTGAAAATTGCCCTACTGGGTACAAAGTGTCGTTTGATGGAGAACTTTGTCAAGGTTGGTTGATTTATTTTCCTGTTTCAACTGTTTGAAAAGCAAAACTTGGTAAAACATTTCATCCACCCAACATTCAGGATTATAAAATAAGTTAAAGTGACAAAATGCTTGTTTTTTTGGGTATGCGGACAGCTTAATGAACGTCTTTGTTTATTGTTCCACAACAGATGTCGACGAGTGTTCTCTTCCCAGCACATGCCCTCGGGGTACATGCACAAACACAGAAGGTTCATACACATGTGTTGTCTGTCACCCTGGATTCAGGGTTTCTGAAGATGGACTGCATTGTGAGGGTGAGGCTTTCTGTCTTTCTGCACAGGATAGGTTTTAATTCAAGCTCAGGTGGTTGCAGGTCAAACTAAGACAACATGAGAGGAAATAAAAACGTTTCAGAAGTGATTTTGGGTTGTAGCTAAGCAGCAGGTGTTGCCACTTGAACACAAAGTACATCAATCTCAGCTCATAACTCTTAGACATCACATCATAGCTGGACCATTCTGCTTTTGGCTCTGATCAGACGAGACACCAAACCTCAAATAGAACAAAATGATGTCAGACAAATATCCTGCTGATTGCTGAGCTAAAAAGATAAAGGTGTTGTCATTTTTATGCCTAACCGTCATCTAATCGATTACAACTGGCAGTCTTTATTTATTTGAAACCAGGGATTCGTGTCTCTGTTATGACGTGTGCATTTATGTCCAGATGTGAACGAGTGCTCGGTGGCTAACTTGTGTCTGGGCCAGCTGTGTTTGAACACCCCAGGATCTTACTCCTGCAGGAGCTGTGGGTCAGGCTTTGACCTTTCTGAGGATGGTCTCACCTGTGAAGGTAAAACAACCAAGTCTGTGATCAAGCTTTAAGTGTTAATCCAGGAACCTGATCAGAAGAAGGTCCTCACAGTGCCCCGTCATTTGTCATGACAAGATTTCTGAGATCAATGCAATAAAAGGGAAACCCAGAGAGGATAAATGTGTCATGACTTCATGGGAAGCAGAAGAGAAATGATTATTTAGAAAGACTCAGTAAGTCGTGTACTCTGTGGTGATTTTTCTAATGGAAGTGTGGATCTAGCCTGAGAGGAAGATTCCCCGCTGATATGTGTCTTTGTGCAGGGAAACGATACCATCAAAGCAAGTCCAAGTCAATCTTTTATGGGATTTTAATGGATGAATCTGATGCCATGGAAAATATTAGAGGTTTAATTTAAAATGAAGTCAACCACCTCCCTGCCTTCCACGAACTGCATGAGGCTCGTCTTTGTTGAACTTTCTGTTCACCTGAAGGCAAAACATCTCAATCACTTAACAGCAGCCCCTCGATTTTTTTCTCTCCCTGAGAAATACAATCTGTACCAACTTCAAGAATTTCCAAAAGATCACATATCAGCAATCTGGCAACTGTTTGTGGATCTAGTGATTATACGTCACCTGCAATAGTTTGCTATTTCAGATTTAATGACTGCATACTCATCTTTCTTCTCTTTTTAATAACACTCTGTCAGTGCTATCGAATAAAAAGGCTCTGCTTACTGTGTGTTAGGCGGCATGTTCAGCTGAGTCACAATAATCCATTAATAGTTTTGAACAGATAAGACAAAAGTGGAAGAACTTTTTGAGGTGATAACCTAGAGCTAACCTTTTCTTCTTCTCTAATATCTAGATATCAATGAGTGCCAGGCTCCAGGTGTTTGTGCTGCAGGTGTTTGTGTCAACACAGAAGGCTCCTATTCCTGCATGGCTTGTGACCCAGGGTTTACAGTGGCACCCAACGGCCTCTCGTGTGAAGGTAGGGCTGAAAATGATGATTAGTTTTACAGTCTTCATCGTGTAAGCCTCTGTAGACCATGATGCATGGCTTTCTGACACTGTGGTCTGGACACTGCTCTCGTCTGATTTACAGATGAGTGTGTCATAGGGATGATGTCTGTGTTGTGTAAATACAGATGTGAATGAATGCGAGGACACCCGCCTGTGTCAGGGAGGCCAGTGTACCAACACCATTGGCTCCTTTAGCTGCTTGTGCCCATCTGGATCCGAGCTAGTGGATGGGACCTCATGCAGGGGTATTTATACACATCCACATGAAATATACTATTAGTGGTTATCCATCTTTTGTGGCTTACCACATGTTGGCATGTTGACACAGCTGTGTGAGTCTATTTGTGCTTGTTTGTGACACAGACATCAACGAGTGTTTAACCATCGCGGGAATCTGTGGAGAAGGCAGTTGTCTGAACACCAAGGGTTCCTACTCCTGCTTATGTCCTGATGGCTTCACCGCCATCGATGGAAAGCCCGGCTGCCGAGGTACAGTAACACGCTGCAGCCAGATCACAAACATCAATGAGACATCGTTATTCGTGTAACTTTATGAGCTCTATGTAACTGGGTGAGGCAGATTCAGAACTGAATATTTTCAGAATGATTTTTTAGCAGCTTGAATCATTTTTTCCCGCCTGCCATGTCTGTTTTTGGCATGCAAGTTTTTCCTCATTCAGTGCAGACAGGCTGTCCTCACCATGCTGCCCTGGGTGCTGAGGCCGTTTGGTGTAATGGGCCGTGGCCTCATCAGCTGTCTCAGCTCACTCTGCCTGAGCTCGGACGCTAGTTTGATGTTATTCCAGTCACACCCAGTGACCCACTGGTCATTCAGTAGAGGGGAAAATGGAGCCTTCCCTTTCAACAAACTGGAGTGTTTGCTTTAAACTACAAAGAATTGCTTTGGACAGGATTTTAGAATTGAATCTGTGTTATCTTTAGTAGCTCTTGCGAAAAAGAAGTGAAGTTAAGTTAGTAGTAGATTGCCTGCCAGTTAATATCCAGTCATGAGATGAAGCAGGTAGAGTCAGTGCTCAGCTCCCTTAAAGATACTTGCAAGGTCCAATATGTAATTGGCAAGATTTACTGTGGAGAACTACAGTTAGTACTCAAGCGTGGATATTCCTCTTCTGAAGTTTTGGCCATGCAGCCGTTTCAATGTCATCCACTCACGGTGAGCAAATTGCAGAGGCTGTTTCAGGTACTTTGGCTTCCCGCCACAATAAATACTAGGCCCTAATTATCCTATAAATCAGCAGTTGTCGTATATTTTCTTGCAGACTGCCATAGTGTGTTTCGTGCTGACACAATGCAAGCCAGACCCCTCTGACATGAGTCTACAGAGGGGGAGAAGAAGGGAGGAAAAGGGTTTGTGAGGTCACGGGAATGATAGATGGGTTTAGGTGTGTGAGGCCAAAATGATGCTTGGCCTCAACATGGAAAAGGCTTAATAAACGACTGACAACAGACTGAAACCCATCCATATCAACATGTTTTGTCATTATCCTGTTGTCCCTTCCAAATGTTATTAAGCCATGGAATAACTCTAAACCCACAGACTTACTTCATTTGTCTAGTTGGAAGTTCATCTTGTCATCTCTGCGACTTAAATTTGGTTTTCAACGATAAAAAAAGCAAGACTGGCATTCCCCCTGTAATGTTTCATCTTTCTTTCCCACCCCATTTTTTACCAGCTCCAAGATCCTTGTAAGATGTGGTGTAATGTAACAATTATCAACCCATCTACAGCTAATCAAGCATGTCGTGTTAATTTTAAAAGTTTTTGTGTAAAAGAAATTTCCCCAGCCTGCAAACGCTGAAGATTGGGTTGATTCCTCATTTTGTTCCTTCTTTGCCAGCACAGTTACATGCTTTAGACGTTATGGGTATTTAATGCTCAGAAACCAAATTTATCTACGTCCTTTTCACTGTTTTCTGACTTTAGATGTGAATGAATGCAGCGGAGACGACGTGTGCATTCGTGGAGAATGTCTAAACACCGAAGGCTCCTTCTTGTGCTTGTGTGAGGCTGGCTTCAAGTTCAGCATTGATACAGCTGACTGTGAAGGTGAGACAAACTGAAACTCGCTTGCGTTGTCCAGTTGTGGTGTCATGTTGGTTGTTGACCTTGAATGCTATGCATGGGGTTTCTTCTTCCTGAGTAAACAAATGTGTTAGCATTAGCCGTTTGATTGCCATGCTACATTAAAGCTGAACCATTTCACCTGTTGGCTTTGACTGATTATCTAAAGTGCATGCAGACTTGCTTCCAGTGAAAGTGTCCAAGCCTGACTGAGGCCCTGTCCACACGTAGCCGGGGATCTGCCAAAACGTAGATATTTTTCTACGTTTTGGCCTGTCATCCACACGAAAACGGTGTTTTTTCACACGAAAACAGATATTTTTAAAAACTCTGACCAAAGTGAAGATCTGCGTTGTTTCCGTTTTGGGTGTCTGAGTGTGGACAGACAAAACCGGAGTTTTAAGGTCCGCAACGTCACTTTCCGCGACAAAAAAATGCTGACATCACGTGTGCGACCTGTGTTTACACTAGCTGACAGCGTGGATGCCCTCAGAGCTGCGCTCGCTTTATCAATTGTCCAAGCGCTTTTTGCTTGTTTGTTTTTGCAAGCGGAATTACTGCTCCTTGAGGAAGACCACAGACAAAGGACGAGGTTAAGAACGGGGGAAGTACTGCCGCCTACAGGTCTGGCATGTCCTTAACAACGTATTTATCCGGGTACGTGTGGACAGTTTTTTTTTAAAACGAGGTGGTGTAGATGCAAGTTTTGGGAGGGGCGGATATTCGTTTTTTAAAAAAACCCGGCTACGTGTGGACTAGGCCTTAGAGGCTTTCCTCAATGATCCAAAGGCCGAGGGTTTGTGTGGCCGGAGCACTGAACTCCAACTTCCTTTAAGAAATTGAGATAATGTAGTTTTTGGACATGTTGTTGCTTGCCTCCTTTACTGAGGACAGCTCTCCACAGGCTTTATGGCCAAATCCAGTTGCACGGCCATTACGCCACAAGCAAAGGAGTGGAGGGGGAAACATAAGTTTGTGTACATGCAGTTTTATTAGCATGTGGTTCTCAGTTTTTATGAGAATCTAATATACCTTCTTTTTTTTGTCTTTCTTTATACAGACCAGGATGAGTGCAAAGACTTTGGAAGCTCTGGGTGTGGATCCTGGCGTTGCGAGAACACCATTGGCTCATACCGATGCTTCATGCAATGTCAGCCTGGTAGTTTGGAGGAAGGATGTGGTGAGTACCTTAAAATCCTTTTTAAGGTGTTCTATGTCTTTTACATTTCCTTGTACCCTTTTGGTTGTTACAAAAGCTTGCTAAAGGATGCTATTGTACACACACTCTTTCCTCCTCTATAATTTATATTGCATACCACTTTGACATAGAGGCTTATTTCAATTAAAAGCTATCAAGTATTTTCTGTACTAAACATCATGAAAGAATGAAGAGAAATAACTCATCTTATAGAAAGAAGTACCTGGTCAGTTTAATCTTAGCAGAAGACCAGAAACTGTTAACAGTCTCATCTTTTTGAGTTAATGAAATCACTTTGGAAGGTGAAGAAAGACGTTGAAACCTGATCATCACAGATCCCTTAATGGAGAAAAGACTGGGTTGTAGTCTCATAATGGTATGCAAACCATGCGATCACCCATCTGCCTGTCAGAGTTAGTACTTATTCCAGAGCATCGTTTTAATCATTCATGAAGAATGACCTGTGGAGTGGCAGGACTAGACGCCTCTTGGGTGTGTTTTTGAGTAATTCAGATTGTTACGATTGTAAACATGCAATTGAGTTGAGTGCACTGCAGCTTTAAATGCTTCTTTGACCAAAGATTTTTACTAAAAATGTAATTGACGGGGATAAGGAGAGGGATATTTTGCAGTTGCACTGACAGAGCGACTGAGGCTGCCTCCTAAGTGCATTTTATGATGTTGTCTGTCTGGCACCAGCTGAAGAGTGCTGAGGCTTGAGGTATGATAAGGACTGATGAGAACCAGCTGCTCACCTCCACAGAGTTTACCACCACTTAGTGGTTCATTTAGGTGCAAGTTGGTCTTGACTTGCATTCTTTCTGTTGGTTTAAGGGGTCTCAAAGATCCTGCAACCAACACTCACCACCCTAGATTAAGCACCAATCCCTTTACCCTTGGGAACCCAGCTTCACACACAGTCGTGGCTTGTTTTACCTAAGGAAAGATGTGGGACATGCTGCCGTCACCTCAGTAAAAGTCCAAGGAAGGAGTACAATTTCTTGAGGGCATTTTTGTCTGCTTGTAAAAACCATCAGAAATTTAGGAAGAAACCAGATGCTATAAGTTGCCATTTCTGTAGTTTTATTTTTACTCCAAGTGGCAGTGGTTGGTCATTTCCAATGCTCATATTTAAATTTAGGGTATATGACCCAAAAAACTAAAAAAAAAAATCTAAACCTTTATGTTTCATTTAAAAAAAACATCACCCACTGTAAGTGCATTTGATTTTAGTTCTAAGTCACCCTTAACCAATGCCTTGTCTTTAATAAGGCTTGCTTTAAGGCGGAAACTGTCTGCGGTCACACTCTTGCCAACCTCCCACTCCTGTAAACGTATAGAAACATGACGACTTTAACATGTGATGCTCTGCAGATGGAAGCTGTTTTTCCTAGAAGTACGAACATGGCATGACAGAAAAGCCCCGATTTTTGTTAACCTATGACAGGTTGTGGCTCTTATGTCTACAATTATGCTTCCCTGAAAATAAATACCTCACCTCATGTGCACCTAGTCGTGTGTGAAATAACCTTTGCATATGGGTCCAATTAGACTATGGGTTGCCCAAAATATCTGGGAGTGTGTAGGCCAAATAGGGAGAGCCAGCAGTCATTGATTCATATATTTTCATCACCATGCGCTCTAGGCAAACTTGTGTCATAGAGACACAATCATAATACTGTCAAAGCATAATCAGAGCATCACCGGATCCAGGAAGAAGGTCTTCCTGAGTTAAACGGTTAGAATGCATGCTCATTTTAGCCTCCTTCAACTCCTAACATCATCTTTTCCAATCTCAGCTGAACTTTTTACCATTTTCTTTACTTTTTATCTTCCATTTAGACAATTTACAGCTTAGATCATCTTGCATAACTCACTAAAGCATGGAAAATCCTGTCCTTCGATGACAATTCAAGGAGTTCTGTCACCTAAAAAAAAAGCTCAGATGAGAAGCCCTTAAAGATCACTTTGTTTCATTGCTGTCATTCCTCCTGGGGATGGAAATTTGATTGCATCTCATCACAACATATGGTTTGCAGTTCCATTTGTACACATGAATGAAATGCTGCCTTCAGATGGTGATTATTTTGTTTATTAGCATAGAGACTTCCTCCCAGACCTCCCGGCTGGCTGCCAGTGTTGTTTCAACATTCATAAATTCGCTTAAAGAACTGTTTTATTTGAGAAACAGTTTCAAAAACCCTTCAATTCTAACAGTTTTCACCTTACTTAGAAATGATTCCTTAACAAGCCTCTCGAAGCATCTGTTGTCTTTTTTTTTAAACAACACAAAAACTCAAAGCTGACACTAAAAGCCACTTTGCCATCTCGAGAATGAAAATCCAGTGGGCCGGTGGTTTCCAGTGCAGTATGCGTTCATCTGTTCTTCCCCTTCTCATCTTGCAACCAGTTGAGCCCACAGTTCCATGCTAGCAGTTGTGGTGCTTCAGCATTTCCTGTGTAAAAAAAAAAAAAAAAAAAAAAACTCGCAAACCACAGACAGTTTTGTCTTTGGTTTTATTAGCATGTGGGAGCCCTTCGTCTCTGACCTCTGAGGTATGTCAGGGAAACAGCCAACTTGGGACAGGAACTCTGAAGCAGGACGAGTCTGTCCAACAAACCTCAGAAGGCAGTTGTCTGTGCTGGAGGAGAAGACACTCTGGCTGGGAGCTCAGATAACATCAAATAGGTCTGGGTTTCTCCAGCCAACTTTCTATTCCCGCATTTGATGCAGCTTTTATTACTCAGAGGCTCAGTGATGGTGGTTAAAACACTGCACTGTTGATTGGATATCAACCTAATTATTCATCGTTTTATCACTATTAATCTTTATGCATATAAATTATACCAGATACTTGACTAAATAACTGGTCTGATAAATCTTCAGATATTTACCATTTTATAGCTCTCAATAATGCTTGAGCAAGTATCTGCTACGGTGAGCAAACTGCAGCTCACTGTTCAGCGGGTTTTTACAAAGTTTGCTCCACTAAATGAATGTTTTCTTTCAGTTGTAGAAGTTCCCAGCCATCTAAATGTTGATGGTTTAAGCAGGTGTGCAACAGCTGCAGCTTGGACATCTCATGGGGCTTACAGTTATGTCATTAGCAAAAAGATGGTAGGGGATTCCTTTAAAAGAGCTCAGGATGTTCTGGAGAGGGAGCAGGTAAAGGAGGAACAATAGAGGCCCTAGCACAGAACCTTGTGGGATACCGTGAGTGAGGGAGGTGGTGGAGGACCGAAACTTGGAGCTGGCCACAGAGGAGGAACGCGCAAACAGAAAGGAGGGAGAACCGCTGTAGTGCAGTTCCTGAAATGCACAGGAGTTAAGAGCTCGCCCCGTAATCAGAAGGTTGCAGGTTCGAGCCCCGCTCAGTCTGTCACTGTCGTTGTGTCCTTGGGCAAGACACTTAACCCACGTTGCCTGCTGGTGGTGGTCGGAGGGACCGGTGGCGCCAGTGCTCGGCAGCCTCGCCTCTGTCAGTGCGCCCCAGGGCAGCTGTGGCTACATAGTAGCTCATCCCCACCAGTGTGTGAATGTGTGTGTGAATGGGTGAATGACTGGTTGTGTTGTAAAGCGCCTTGGGGGGTTCCAGGACCCTAGAAGGTGCAATATCAAATACAGGCCATTTACCATTTAGTGTCCCAGCACTTCCTGTAGAAGGTGGTGATCAACAGTGTCAAAGGCTTCAGTTGGGTCCACTTCAGGAATTCAAATACAAATAAACAGTTTCAGCTAATTCATCAGTAATAAAGTTAGCAGCAATTGTGTTTAATAAGCAGGTCAATTATATAATAAACATACCGACATTTGAAAACTTTTCCTTTTATCTATTGTTTACTTATTCCTGATGCTGATGTAGCATGTGAGTTTCGTCTTCTAGTTTTATCTCAAAACCAGTAAAGTGAACATAAATACAAAATTGTTTTTAATAAAAACAAACTCTAGTGTCCCTTAATTTCAGTTAAGCCAATCATATTATTGAGAGGACTCTGGCGTTGTGTTTCCATCCTTTTGCTTTATTTATTTATTTATTGCATAAGTTGATGAAAACATGTTTCATTCATTTCATTGAACTCCAGTGTTGCCGTAGCAGACAAACTTTCCAGCAAGTCCGTGAAGAATGTTTCTGATTCTGGTTTCTTAAACTGAAAACAAGCATAAATCAGTGGCAAACTGAACTGACCAGAGAATAATTTCGCTGGATAAAAGTGTGAACAATAAATTCTCTGATTGTTTTTTTTAAACAATTATAATCAGCTCCTCTGTCCTGCTGCATCGGCTCTGTGTTTTACTCCCCGTGCCAAGAAATACTACATCATGTTCGTAAGAAATTGCTAACAAATGTTGCTTTCAAACAGTAACTGGTGAGGAATCAGCAGAGCTGTGAGAAGGTCCAGAGTTAACTGACACACATCATGTAGTTCTTCATATTTATCAGACTTGTTTTATGATTTTTCACCATGCTGAGTGCTACGTTCCTGCCAGACTCCATTTTTTCAAGTTAATTATTTTCCTTTATTGAAAAAAAAGCATTGTTTTTAGCATTGTTTAGGGTGATAAAAGTAAAAATCTGCCAGATCTGAAGTCTGTTTGGGTGAATCCTGCTGCTGGTGCTTCTCACTTATCTGACACCATCAGCCTTCAAGATACACACTGCACATGGATGCAAACAGAACGTCCCTTTACACTAACAGCAAAGTTTGAAAACCCTCCCGAGTAATTGTCTACTTCTGACGTGTTATGATGGCAAAGATCTGTTGGGTGTGATGTTTGTATTTGGAAAAGCATCGTTGTGTTTACAGAGGCAGCAGGAGAATACAAATAACACCTCGTGGTCTTTTCTCGACCTGCAGATATCGACGAATGCAACAATGAAACCCTCTGTGGAAGCCACGGCTTCTGCGAGAACACAGACGGCTCCTTCCGCTGCCAGTGTGACCGGGGATACACCAACCCGCCAGAGGATGTGACCAGATGTGTGGGTGTGTAGCAGATGTGCAAAAAGATCATGGTTTAATACACATATATGGGTCTGTATTAGAAAAAATGCATAGCCCCCAATAAATACACAACTTTGGACTTTTTAAACTGGTTTTCATCATTTTCTTATGGTGGGCTTGAAATACATTTTATTTTCAAGTAATTTTAAAAACTAATTCCTTCTAGTTGTCTTTAGTTTCATTCAACAACGTTCAAAGATTTTAGAACATTTTAATGCAGAATTAATTTTCCAAAAATGTGTCATTTAATGTATGTCACTAAATTGGGCTTTTTTGACTTTTAGCTTTTCTTAAGTTATACATACATTTAACATAAATGTTGTTCTTATTATCACACAAACTATACAAGTAAATAAATTAGATAAATGATCTCTGACAAAGTCATTTATCCACTAAGGAAATTGATTCAATATTACATGTCTGTGCAGTGCTTCCCCTAGGAATTTTTCCAGCTGTGGCGGTGGGGCCCGGGGTGGGGGGGTGGGGGGTGGGGGGTGGGGGGGGGGGATTATGACACGTCTCTAAATAAAGTAAAATTTTCTAGTGCAGAGAGGAGCCAACCCATAGAAGCACTGATTTGATCTCATTTCAGAGAAAAATACAGCAGGTCAGATGCACCTAATAAATAAAATTACTAACAAACTCAGAAATCTGTTTCTTTGCTTCACTGTTCTGGTGCTGAGAATATCACTAATGCGGATCAAAGGAGATACAGATGAATGCACCTCTTATTTATTATTTGGAAACTACATTTACTGCAGCTGGCAGAGGCAGAGATTGTTTCTATTGATACACGGAGTTTACAGAATCATTTAAAATTTTAATAGGGGAAGACTGCAGGAGGGAGCGGTAAAATACAGGTGGTCCCCAGCAAAAACAAGAAACTTTACGAGTCTGACGAAACCCGCTGGTTTTCCATCAGGCAGTCACGAGGCAGCTCCAACGACCCAGTGGCTGTGCTGGGTCAATGTTATCGAGCTCAGTCCGGCTCGGCAGAGGGTGAACGAGCCGAGGTGACGTCATGCTCTGCTTAAGAAGTGTTATTTTCCCGCTTCAGAAGAAGCGTCCAACGTGTTTTTACGCTTTCTCGGAGACATGTCACGTCGCTAAGTTGTTAGCGCCACGCGCTAACATGTCAATAGTGCAGCGTAGCCTGCTGGAGGTTTTAAGGGTTCAGATGAAAACACCCGACCTCTCACGCTGCTCACACGTCAATCTTAAGTTGTCGCTGTTGCGCTCACGCTGTAATACAGTATTAGATGCGGTTAAAGTCAGACATGAAAAAATAAATAAATTTTACATGAATAAGTGATGCTTAGCCTGGTGGGGGGAGGAAAACTTGGCCTACTAAGCACTGGAGGAAACCCTGTCAAGATTGTCAACACTCGTTTATCTTAATGCTACTGAAACACGTAAACCAAAAAGCATTATATCCACTGCTACCTTTCTAATTTTAAACTCAGTAACTTATGCTGTAACTTCACCTTGCCCTGCCTGCTCCTCCTTGCTGCCCGCCGGCTATGATCACAAGCGACAACATAGTTGTTCCCGCTGCTTCTTCGGGAAACAGCGCAAATAGATAAATAAATAAATAAATAAATAAATAAAACTTGATCTTGTAGGCATGGCGGTGGGATTTCAGCCGTGGCGGGCCGCCACGGCTCCGCCTATGTAAGGGAAACCCTGCTGTGAGTCCCACGTCTATGCTTTTATCTTGAAGCAGTTGCTGCAACTAAAGATTTCCAGTAACTTCTGATCAGCTCTCAAAATCATTTAGAAGAGTATTTAACCAGTAACTAGCGAAAAATACTTTAAATACTGAGAGGATTTCTTAGCAAATATTTTAGACATAATTTGACTTATTAATAATTAAATTTAACATTCTCAGTATTGAAAGATTTCCTGTCGGACCACTAGCACCAGTAGAATTATGTTTTCATTTTGGAAATTTGTTTATTTTTCCCAAACATAAAACCTTGTATGTAAACGAAAAACCGCATTCATTAACAAAAACCAAGAAGCTGTTTTCTTAAACTTTCTATTCATCCCAAACACATCAGACTATAAAAACGCCCAGATGTGTGGCGAGTCAGAAATATCTCTTCCCTCCAAGAGGAAGCCCAGGAGGTGATGAAGGACCTCATCTGTGTGCAGGCACATGATCTTCTGTCTCTGACCTCTTTTTTTTTTTGTAGACATAAACGAGTGTGAGATGAGCTCGGCGCTGTGTGGGGAGGCCCTGTGTGAGAACTTCGATGGAAGCTTCCTGTGCATCTGCCCCAACGACAATGAGGAATTTGATCCCATCACCAGCCAGTGCCGCTCCATGGGTAAAGGAACAGGACCAGCACTCAAACAATTTAATTCTCCATTCCACCGTTTGGAGCCGGAGTATTCCCTGATTTAATGAGCCATCTCTGATTGTCCAAACAAGGAGGACATGGCTTACTCCACAGCTGATTTTTGCCCCGCCAGTTGTTTGGGATTGAGGTTGGGTGGGTTCCCTCCAAAAAGAATGCATTAGCCTAATCCCTCAGATAAATAATGAAGCAACCTTTCCAGCACAGCCCAGGAAAACCCGTAAGGACCTATTATTCCATCACCAACACAAACAAGGATAAGGTGTAGTTATTGGCAGTTAAAGCTGATGAAAAGTTGCTCATGACTTTGGAAAAATGATCCCCAACTGAAGTAGTCACGTTTATTTATTTATAAGATAGAAAAAGTATTTAAAATCTTTGACATACCATCTTTTGAGCTCACAGATTGGGTATATTTTTTTGAGCGGCGCGCCCTCAGTCGGGATGTTTTTCCTTCTGCCTGACCACTAAACCCCAGTTATGCCTTTGTGTACCTTGTAGCCACATTCCAGTGTTTGCTTTTGACGTGTGTGAATCAATCATGTGAGTCTGAATGGTGTGTTGACTCACATGCCAGTGTTTCCATTTGGCTAAGCTAGCAGCTTAAGGGTGAAATGCCTGAGCCCACCGTTTTGGTGAATGAGCGGGGGTCATCGGCGGCATGCGAGGGTACAGTCAATTGTCAGGATTTGGATAAAATTTCTCTTCCAAGCAGCAAATTTCTCTATAATTCACAGATTCCCTTTCTGAAATCCTCCCTGTCTCTTTTTTGGTTTTATTACAGCTGAAACTGGCACTAAACCCGAGCTTGGACCCACTTTAATGGCTGGCGAGAGGAAGGAGTGCTACTTTAACTTGAATGATGCAAACTTCTGCAACAACGTCTTGTCTCGCAACATCACCAAGCAGGAGTGCTGCTGTACAGCTGGGGCAGGCTGGGGGGACAACTGTGAGATTCACCCCTGTCCCCTCCCAGGAAGAGGTACAGCATCTGTGTGTCAGCATTCAAACAGCGTTTCATTGTTTTAGCTCATTTTCTTTCTCTAAAAAGGTCTTTGCATTTTGTAGATGATTACAACCAGTTGTGTCCTCATGGCAGCGGATTGTTAACGCTTCCTGTTTCCACTGGACAGAGTCATGACTATAAAGGTAAACAATTTATGAATGCTCACCTATTTTAATGACATTTAGGCTTTCCAGTTCCCCTCTATAGAATAATGTACATTAACAGTTAATAAAATTACTTAATGTGTAGTATGGGCATGAAAGTCTGAAATAAAGTCAGATTTGAAAGTCAGCTAAGATGTAGTCATGTGAATTTCCTTATTTTTGGCATTCAGATGCTTGTAATGTTTCCTGAAATTTTCTTATTTTTACCCATCTTTGAGTTGGATTACATTGAATTAAATTCAGTTTATGCCAATTCACAACAAGAGTCACGTCAAGGCACTTGACAAAGCAACTGTTCCAATTGAACCTACTTATCAGTGGATTGAGTTCAATTTATTATTGCAGTTAGCTGATAGTTTTCTAAACCCAGCAGATTGAATGGGGTCACTGGCTTGTTGTGTCAGTGACTTTACAGCAATCCCTCGTACCAAGCAAGCATGTAGCGACAGTGGAGAAGAAAACTCCCTAAGAGTCCTCCAGCAGAACCTGGCTCAGTATGAGCAGCCGTCTGCCACGACTGGGGGTACGGGAAGATAGAGCACACACACACACACCCAGATGGACTAAGGAAAGTAAAACAAAAGGCCAATTGTTTTAGTTTTTGCTCACTTCTTCTTGACTGTTGTTGTTCTTGTCCTGACAACGACATCAAACACGAGCAGCAAAAAGCAACAACCCATAGACGATGTGGTTCCTGCATTCATTAAAAACAGAGCAAGTGGCCATTGCAATGTTCAGACTGCGATCTAGTGGACTACTGTGTGTGGGGTAGTTTATAATGAGCAACTTAAGGCAAAAGTCAGAAAAAACTAGCAAAAAATTACACAGAGATGGAGTTTTACTAGGTTATCTGTCTATTGTCCAAGCAGGACACAATCCAGAGCTGCATTTTTAAGTGTCAGTCGTAAATTTGATCCAACACAGAGGCTGGTAAAGATATAAAGTCTTCAGGAAATAATTGGATTACTTGTATGAACACGGGTCTTTGGACTAGTTGACATAAGATTGAAGCTCACGTGATATTTCGTTTACTGAAACTTTTTAAGAAAAAGAATGACGTCTCTGTGTGATATTAAAATGTGAATCTTTCATTCCCTTCAGATGCAAATGAATGTGAGATGTTTGGATCTGAGATCTGTAAGAATGGACAGTGTTCAAATTTCTTCTCTGGGTACTTTTGCTTCTGTCACTCTGGCTTTTACTACGACAAGATTCGGCTTGAGTGTGTGGGTAAGAAATGACGGCAGCCTTTTCTTTTTCTTTCTTTTAACAAACAAATTATTATAAAAGCAAAAACATAATCCTGCTTTCAGATGAACCCAGAAAGTAAACATCTATTTCATACAATCCGTGCTTTTTTATTTAATTTCAGTTAGGGGTTAATTTGACCATTATGATATTTTTTAATTCTGTGAAGCACTTTGTGATTCTCTGTCTGTGATAAGTGCTGTATAAAGAAATTCTTAATTTAGACACGTTTTCTGGTTTGTACTTATTTTCTTGATGTTTTTTTTTCATGTTAGATTACAATGAGTGTGAATTTAGAAATCCCTGTGAGCACGGAGCGTGTGTGAACACAGTCGGATCTTTCAACTGTTTCTGCAGTCCTCCGCTGGTGCTGGACAGCTCACGACAGCGCTGCGTTAGCCTCAACACCACAGAAGGTTTGACACGCACATACATGTGTGACGGTGCATTCCTTATAAGCTTTTACCAAACCATTTTAACAGACACAACAAGCTGTTTTAGCTTTGGAAGACAGTAAATATAAATGTGTGTTTTGCATTTTTTTAAGCTACATCATAAAAAAAGAAGAAAATAAATTGGTCAGTTTTACAGTATTGGTTAAAAACTCGCTCATCCTCCCGTAAACTACAGATCCAGATCACGATGTGCACGTGGATATTTGCTGGCGCCGACTTGAGGGGGACAACATGTGTGCGGATCCGGTCCAGGAGCGCAGAACCACTTACACTGAATGCTGCTGTCTGTCTGGCGTCGCCTGGAGTGGACAGTGTGCATTCTGCCCCAGGAAAGACTCTGGTAAAAAGCAGGAAACGCAGCAAACAGATGGATGAGTCTAAAGTTTTACATCTGAGAATGTAAAAATGAATGAACCTGCCTGTGTCATTGTGCAGCTGACTACGCAGCCATGTGCAACCTGCCTCGAACAGACGGGACAGACAGTCTCCGGGAGCGGATTGGGTACGAGTACGGACCAGAAGATCCATCAGAGTCGTTCCTTCCACCATACTGGGATAACTATGGTGGCCCTGCAGGGACATATGATGTTCCTGAGAGTGTTCCTTTGTTTACGGATAGCGACTACAACGTTCAGCAGCCTCCCTTTCGTGTCCCCATCTCACAGCCAGTGGTGCCTCCAGCACCTCAGCCAGTGGATCCCTACGCTGGTGCGTACAAAAACGTCAACGAAGGGCTTCCTTATTGAGACGGGAACATAGACATTTACCCCTGGTCTCAGACTTTATGTAGCCTGCCCCCATTCTCTTCTGCTTAGCCATTTAGCAATCTAAGAATGTCTAAACCTTTGTAGAACTTTTGCTAAATTTCTTGGTTTTCCTCTTCTTTCTTTGCCCTCTTTAGCAAAATCTGAAGTTCATGCAAAATTTAAAGAGGTTAGGAATGTAAATGAACTTGCTGTTTCTTGCGTATTTCTGTGTCCAATCAGAGCGCTACGATAGCTTTGAGGGTCTCCAAGCGGAGGAATGTGGGATCTTAAATGGATGTGAAAACGGACGCTGTGTTCGTGTGCGAGAAGGATACACGTGTGACTGCTTTGACGGTTACGAACTTGACCTGGACAAGATGGCCTGCATAGGTGGGTTCTCAAAAGACCACAGACGCCCAGACTTTCAAGGAGTAAATTTCTCAAAAACGTGTGATAAATATGTTTATTCAGGCTTTAAATGTCGATAAAATTTATATTTTATATAATCAAATTCAAGGAGAAGCTATGAGTTTAACAACTTTGCAGTAAGTTAGGTTTTATGGGAATTAATGAAAGCTGTGTCATCCTTCAACCCATGCATTACCCTTTGGTGTGAAATTCTCTAGTCACACTCTGCCAAGAATAAGGAGGCCTTGAATTCTGGCCACACATGCATCATATGAGATATTATATCATTTAAATGCATGTCTGTTTTTATATGAAAGTGAAACACAATTACAGTGTTCTGTCTGCATTTGAGCTTATCGTTTTCAAGGTCAGACGTTTTTCCCATGGAGAGACTGTGGAAACATGTGGGAGCTCGTGCCATGCCTCTTCACATAAATATCACCACTCGTATTTCCCCTGCAGAACATGACATAAACACGGAGAGAATGAACGCTCCGAAATGAAAATCAGACCTCCTGATCTGACAAAAGGAGGCGTTGAAGGCCAAAGGGAAACATAATCTAATGCACCGTTAATTTGATCACCGTTCTCAAAAGTTTAGAGCTTCAGGATTTCAGTTCAGCTGACACGCAACATGACGGCATGCTTATTAAATAAATATACAAGATTAGATGCTAAGCAACGTATTGGTTGAGTGAAGGCCTTTTATCTAAAAATGACATATGTGGAAGTCATTAAAACACCCTTGTTTATTTATTATAGGACTGCTAAATTTAATCAGCTTCCTCTTCTATTAATTATGTCACTGCATATGCCTAAAGGTTGGTTTATACTTGACGTGTCTGCAAGGTTTGCACAGCTCCGTGCAGCAAACGTGCGTAATTTTAACAACCACGCCCCTCCACCGCGCCTCCGCACGGCCCAAACTTTCCGCACCGCGCACCTAGGAAATTTTCTAACCACGCGGACGGTCGAATGCAGAAAAACATGGCGGACTGGCATGAACTAGTTATGGCAGAGCTCGTAAATACAGACATTTGTATGATTCAGCTCTCAAAGATCACAGTGATCAAAATGTTGTTAATAATTCTTGGAGAAATAGCTTGCACTGTCGGAAAAGACGAGGACACTGTTAAAAAATGCTGGAATGCCAAGTTGTAAACAACAGTAATTTTTACTTCTAAGGTGTAGTGTTGGATGCATGCCGTAGAGCTCCATGCTGCCCCCTACAGTTTGGGAGAATACTGGCTCACCGCAGAGACGAGCTGCATGAATCATAAACGCTGCAAGTTGTGAAGCGTGTTCCATCCGCGAGCCGCATCACCAAGCAGAAAGTAAATGCGTTAAGCATAAACCAAGCATAACAATACTTCTTTCATGAAATGTGTTTTTTGCTCTATCAGAAAATCTCAAATAATTGTTGTTAGAAGTTTAAACAGAGCTTTAGCAGATTGTATTTTTTTGAGTCTGTATTTGTTTTTTATTTTGCTTTGCAAAAACTGCTCAGTGTGCAAAATCAGAAGTTCTATGAAGTGCAGATTTTAGGATACATTATCTTAAAAAGGACATGATTATGCATAACTCACTTTTTGCATCGTTTTGTGCTGCCATGTGGGTCTCTACTGCCTCTATAAACACTCCAAACTTTAAAAAACCTGTTTTCTGCCAGTGTTTGGTCTTAGGGATTATGCGCCTTAAACAAGCAGTTTCAAAAATGTCCCTTTTGTGACATCACACACGGGGACTTATTTTAAAAACAAAATGGGAAATTAGAAAAGAACCACCTTATGTACAAGAGAGAGCTGCTGCTGGAGGAGCTCTGCTCAGAGCCTCTCCTAGAAATCAGAGCTTCTCAGCTTATAGCAGCCTGAGCGGGGGGTGGGGGGGGGCGTGGCCAGCTCCAGCTTGTTTTCTTAAAGTGACAGAGCCCTGAAATGGCTCATTCTGGAAGGTACTGAAAATGTAAAAAATTAAAAGCTACTTAAATAGCTTTATGTGTGAGGGATTTATTGCAAATTATTTCAGAAACACATTTTGAATAGAACTATTACCTAAAGGAAGAATTCATAATGTTTCATTTGCATAACTTGGACTGAAATCTTTTAGCAATACAATCCATAAATATATTAAAAATCTAAGCCTGAAATAATTAAGAAAATTATGATTTATTATTTGAATAAAAATATTAAATTTGTGCAACATATTAACTTTTTATTATGAATTAAAAAACTGAAAATAAATATTTTATCCTCAGTTTCACAGTCAATAAATAACCTTTTTCAGGATGCTAAGCTCCACATTTTAAAACCCATTGGCCAGATTTGCCAACATTAAATGAAGTTAGGTTTGTTGTTTGTTTCCAAGTTTTCATTTAGGCCAGCGGCGCTCAAATGCTCGCCATCTGCTTGGACGCAACTCACCGCTGCCAGTTAGCTTCAAGTTAATTTAGCGTGATAAAAATGCATAAATCACAGCGAGAGCAAGGAAAGAATAGAACAAAGCCATACTTAGGATTTTAGAATATGAATGCTTTTAGCTCGTTTTCTCAGGAGCAGAAGTGGCACAAGTTGAATTGGCCTGCTTGCTAACATGCTACTTCTCCTTGTTCCTGCAGACATAAACGAGTGTGAGGACATCAACGACAAGATCCCGTTGTGTCAGAACGGCCAGTGCATGAACACAGAGGGATCCTACAAGTGCACCTGTTTGCCAGGTTTTGTGGCCTCTGCTAAGCCGCACAAATGCATCCCAGCAATCCCTGATTCCAAATTCAGGAAGACCGAAAACTGAGACGGAGACTGTTAAGGGGCTAACTTTTCCTGCCCCCTTTAAAGATCACCCTATGATCTTTTTTTTTTTTTTTTAACCGAAGGGTTTCGCACTAAACCTCCAATGGTTACACTGTTCGTCCAAGCTTTTACTTAACATGCACACACACACACACACACACACACACACACACACACACACACGAAGCTAAACACTGCACACACACAGTCTCAAATCCCATCACACACATTCAGGAGGAACTTTTTTTAATGAATGTATAACATGGGATACAGGTTTCACCAGACATCCATTTGCCTTAAAGGGATTTTATGGACTGATCGTGTATAATCAGTGACCCCTGGCAAATTGATATGCTTATACAGTTTCCACATTATTTTCTCTTGTCAATTTGTTGTGTGTTATTTATTTCACTGGCATGACGGGCCTCTGTAAATTAAGAAAGCAACAGATTTCAGAGGGTGGACTTGATTGCATTTGTTTTACTTGCCACCACTACAGAGACCCTGTGAGGAGATTTTAAATGTTTTGATTATTTTCTGAAGCACGAATTTCACCAGAAGCAGTTGTCACACTGGGTCAATAAATACCGAAATGTATCCCAAGGCTGCCTCTCTTCAAGATTTAAGATGATGCTGAAGAATTTCTGGACCAAGCAACAGGAAGAAACAAACTGAGCTTTCGCATTAAAAGCTTCTGCACTGCACAGACTTAAAGACTGTAGATATGTATGACGATCTGTGCATTGCTCTGAAAATGGTGCAATAGCTAGTTGTTTTAAGCCTTTTTCACACATTAAAATACTAACATCGGTTTGTCTCTTTAAGATAAAATTGAACTATTTTATAAACTCCAGTTTACATTTTCTAACCTAATTTCCAAAAGTAAAAAGGACATAAATATGTCCAGAGAAATTAGGCCTCTCTCATTTGTGCATCCCTGTGCATTTGAGGCCTCGTCAGACAAGTGTGATATCTTTTGTACAGTTTTAGTACCTTCTGTTGTTTTTGTCACATATTCTTTTAATGCATATAGCACAACAAATTACTCATATTTGACAATGCCTTAAATGTAAGACAAAAAATCCAGCATTTTAGCATTGTAGATTTATGTATGTCTGTAAAAATATTTTTAAAGCCTCTATTTTTCTGTATGAGAAGAGTGGCTGACACCGTACAATAGGAAATGTATGTACCCTGCCCTGTGGAGCAGACAATGAATTATAATTTTTTTTGCAAGTGGTAGCACTGTTCTACAAAAACAAACACTTTTGAATTTTTGTGCATCACATTACAGCAGAAATGTCAGTAAGAGCATAATTTTTTTAAAAATATTTGGATTTTTATGTAATTTATGTATCATAAACAGTATTAGCAGTTTTATTTTGTATCATACCTACCTGTCTTTCATATTCAGCACAAATATCTGCAGTATCTAAACTTTTGGGTGTAATAGTTGATCATTTTTCAAAAACTGGCATTTTCAGTCTATGATCCTACAGTTTTATTTTAATTCACAAATGTGTTGAGCAAATAATTGCCAGATGATCCAGACCGGAAGTCTGGAGCTGAAGTATTTAAAGCATTTCAAGCATTAAAAGGTTTTGGGACAAATGTTAAGTTGAAAAGTTGTGTTCAATGTTCTGCTTGTTACGTTTGCTTACCTCAATCGGTAGTCAAAATAAAGTATGAAAAACAAACTCTTTGTTTCATTTACAAAACACTGAATTTTAGTTGTGCTTATGTTCAGGGAGTATTTTCTTAGTTGCAAGCTAAGAGTGGAGTAAGATGAGATAACGTTTGTAAAGTAAACGTGGCTTACTAAAAATATGTTTAAGAGTAATAGAGAAAAACGTTTCTAATGTCTAATTTTAAGAAACCTGAACTTGATCTATACAACTCGTTTTTGATGAAACATTGCCCCCTTGTGGACAAATTGCACAACAGCACAAACATGAACCGCTATTTCTGCTTTTCTCTAACTTTATCTTATTTTCGTGTAGAACCATCCCTTACATGACTATACAACGCTTATCTGATAACTACGTGTGTTAGAATTAAGTATGCCTTAAAATAAAGATAAAAAAACTGATTTGAGCTTTAAACCGGGGAGAAGATCAGGACATTTTTAAAATTGACCCTTTGGAGTTTCCGTACTGGATTATGGCGTCCCTGAGGGAACAGTTTTTATCCATCTCGCGACATCGCGCCCACATCGTGTTCTCCGCTTGTTTGAAATTAAAATACATTTCCCAGAAGACAACGCGATCTATACAGAAGAAATACAAGTTATTTTGCGGTACTGAGCTGCTAAATACGAACAGGAACTTCATGTAGATAAACTAACGGTCATTATAACCTTTAGAGACCATTAGCCCTAGCTAGCATCGAAAATGTTGAAGTGGTCAAATGGATATTTACATAGAAACATAGCAAATCCCTTTCATTTGAAAGAATAATTTTTGAAATTTCTGCGACGTCAGAAGTATGTCTGTGGGGTGAAACAAGTATTTGTTTTAACACCTTGTGAAAACGAAGTGAACCCTGGTTTAATTTGTTTAGTATCTTTGTTACACAATGTTAGCTTTAGCAACACAGCACCACAACATCATTAACTTCTCGTTGTTAGTAAATGATTGAATATAATCCACAAAACTATCAGGATTAATTTTATTGAGGGGAGGTCTGATTATCTAAATATTGCATCTCGTAATGGCAAAAGAAGAATGCCTTTCTCAGAGGATCAAATTAAGAGACACTTACACGCTTCGAAACAGGAAAATCTACCAATCATCAGAACAAATCGAACAATCTACAGGGTCAAAGGGCAAAAAGAGTCAAACAACGTTGTCAAAAGATAAAAATCAGTTCTCCAACGGGTCAACTGCTCCATTTCCAACCAGAGGAAGTGGTGGCTTCCCTAGAAAAGTGGTGCTGATGCTGGTGGTGGGGCTGTCTTTCGCCACTCGCCTCTACAAAATAACAGAGCCTTCTCATGTGTGGTGAGTAACCATTCCTGCCTTGTTCATGCATCTCATCAGTGTCTGTCCATAATGACTTTTTTGTGTTTCAGCTGGGATGAAACTCACTTTGGAAAAATGGGAAGCTACTACATCAACAGAACACTCTTTTTTGATGTGCATCCTCCTCTTGGAAAAGTGAGCTGGCTAAAACACCGTTTAATGGAGCCTTACTATTGATGCTAAACTGTTGTTTTGTTGCAGATGCTGATTGGACTTGCTGGTTATATGACTGGCTATGATGGCACCTTTCCTTTCCTAAAACCTGGAGACAAATATGAGCACCACGTTTACTGGGGGATGAGAGGAGTATGTTGATTTTCACAAACTATATTTCATAGATTTAAAGACGAGATGCATTTAAGTAGCTACTGATGCTTTCTTCTCTTTTGTACAGTTTTGTGCTGTTCTGGGGTCGTTTCTCCCAGTCTTTGCCTACCACATCGTTCTGGAGCTGTCTCAGTCTCACAATGCTGCTCTCATCACTGCTACCTTGCTAATATTTGGTTAATAGTTTTTTTAATGCATAACACATATTAAATAGGTGATAATCTTTGTACTCTTTTTGAATTTTGAGATCCACTCAAACATGGAAAGAATCATTTGTATTTTGTAGGGACAGCAGTAGCTCAGGAGGGAGAGCGGGTTGTTCGGTAATCGGAAGGTTGCAGCGCGCCCCGGGGCAGCTGTAGCTACATCGTAGCTCATCCCCACCAGCGTGTGAATGGGTGAATGACTGTGTTGTGAAGCGCCTTGGGGGTTGTAGAACCCTAAGAAGGCACTATACAAATACAGGGCGTTTACCATTTATGCCTTTTGGTGCATTTCTCGCACAGAAATAATGAACAATTTGAACAAAACGTTCAGATAATTCAAATATTTAGCTTACACATTTATAAATTGTAATACAATGATTTTATTTCTTCCTGACAGACACTGGCTGCATCACCATCTCTCAGTACATCCTACTCGATCCCATACTTATGTTCTTCATCATGGCAGCTGTGCTGAGCATGGTGAAGTTCAGCCAGCAGAGATGCAGGTAGAACTTCACTTAAGTATTACTTTTACTCATTATACAAAACAAATTTTACTAAAACACACTTCAGATTCACCTTTTGCTGTTTTGACTTCACTTTTTTATATTTGCATTGTGTTTTCAGCATTTTTACCTGTTAGTCATTAATTAGTTTTAATATTTCCAAAGGGGCTTTGAAGTCTTGTACATAAAAACAGTCACATAACAGATTACCTAATGCGTTTCAGTGATTTTATTACTTAATCTTTATGTGAAACACAGACAGAATACCAGTGTTGGCCTTTTTCTACATGCTTTCAGACCTTTTACTGCCCCCTGGTGGCTGTGGCTCCTGCTGTGTGGGGTTAGTCTTGCTGGGGCTCTTGGGGTGAAGTTCGTGGGTCTGTTTGTCATCCTTCTGGTTGGGCTAAACACAATCTGGGACCTCTGGAGACTTTTGGGAGATGTGAATCTTTCCCTGGTAAACTGCAGTAATTCTGTGATCATGCGTGCGTTGATTGGTTAAACTGTCAGCTTTACCGCCACCAACTCTTCTGTCCCCAGATGGATGTTGCAAAGCACTTCCTGGCCCGGGTTGTTGGACTCATCCTGCTTCCTCTCATCCTTTATGTTACAATATTTGCGGTTCACTTTGCTGTGTTAAACAAAAGGTGAGTGTGACTGTTAAAGAATGCGTTATCACTGGATGATGAGCTTGAGTAATTGAGATTTTGCTCTTGCAAGTGGACCAGGTGATGGTTTTTTTAGCTCCGCCTTCCAGTCTCGTCTAATCGGAAACAACCTGCACAACGCGTCCATGCCTGAGTGTGAGTGCTAGAGCTGTGGTACGTAAATAACCTGCGCATTTTCTGATTTCATCACAACGTCTTCTTGCTCTGTTTCTGATGCAGACCTGGCGTACGGTTCCGTCGTCACAGTGAAAAATCTCCGTATAGCAGGAGGTTATTTACATTCCCACTGGCATTTATATCCAGAAGGAGTCGGAGTGAAGCAGCAGCAGGTCGGGCTTTTGCTGTAACTTAGCGAAACATAATTATACCTAAAACATGTTCAGAAAGGTAAACTTTACATTTGCTCTGTGCTTTACAGGTCACGGCTTACCTCCATAAGGACTATAACAACTTGTGGCTGGTTCACAAACAGGATTATAATGACTGTAAGAAAATGCTCATGATCTGTTTGTTCTAGGTCCCACTGTTGATCCTAAAGACTGGAGGCTTGTTGGTTTTAACAGTTCTGCTGATGTCTGTCTCACTCATTTCCAAGCTCAGTCTGGGACTCCTGATCTGGTTCGTCATGGTGACGTCATCCGACTGGAGCACAAAGAGTAAGTATCGTCCGTCTACAGCGCTGACGAAAGTCTCACATCTAGTTGGTTACATGTATTTTCCTTCCTTCAGAACAACCCGTAACCTCCACAGTCACCATCATCAGGCTCCTCTGACCAAGAAACACTTCCAGGTCACAGGCTATGGAATTGTGAGTAGACCTCGGATGTAAAGCTGTGCACGTTAGCTTTGGCTGCTTGTTCTTTGTGTGTTCTCAGATCTAAAGTAAATTAAAAACAAGGGTTTTCTTCTGTAAGAATGGAACAGGGGACGCTAACGACCTGTGGCAGGTGGAGGTGTGTGGAGGTCGGAAAGGTGACCTGGTGAAAGTGCTGCGAAGTAAAGTTCGTTTTCTGCACAAAGCTACCGGCTGTGTGCTCTTCTCCTCTGGGAAGACCCTTCCAAAGTGGTAAACTTCCTCTTCTCAGCTCCGGTTTGATTCGATTCCTCTGCGTTTGAACGGTTGACCTGAGTGTTATTTCTGTCCAGGGGCTGGGAGCAGGTGGAAGTAACCTGCAGCCCCTACCTGAAGGAGACTCCAAGCTCTCAGTGGAACATTGAGGATCATATTAATCCCAAATGTATGGTTTAAAATAAAAGCAAAGCTTGTTAATGTTTTTGTTTGCTGATCTCAAACATTTGACGTGTTTTTCTGTCAGTGCCCAACATCAGTCTGTCTGTGCTGAAGCCCAGTTTCCTAGAAGTCCTGCTGGAGTCACATATAGTAATGATAAAGGTAAAAAAATGAGTCTGCCTTTGCTTCATTAATATTGTGGAGATTTGTTCATTTCAATAAAAACATCTTTTTTAGGGTAATAGTGGTTTGAAACCCAAAGACAATGAAATGAACTCTAAACCGTGGCACTGGCCAGTTAACTACCAGGTACATAAAGTCATTTTCAGTGCAATGACATTTAATTCCAGTTTATCCCAACTGTTAATTCCAAGTTTTGATTGTGTTTTTGTGAAGGGACTGAGGTTTTCAGGAGTTAATGATACAGAGTACCGTGTTTACCTGCTGGGAAACCCTGTAAGCGTCTATTTTATTTTTACACCTTTTTTTTTGCCATCATTCTTTGAAAAATCAGGATGTAATCCTCTGTTTTAGGTGGTTTGGTGGATAAATCTGGCCAGTTTAGGGCTGTATCTCACCATGGTGGCGGTGGCGTCTACAGCCATTCAAAGGGGGTTGCCTCTGGGACAAAAAAGGATCGGTATGACGATCATGGCTGCAGCAGGGTGAAACATAGAGTGAACGTTGTCTCATTAGACAGTTTTGTGTGTTTCAGAGCATTCATGTGTGCTCACGAGGGGAGGGGGTCTCCTGCTCCTGGGCTGGCTGCTGCACTACGTCCCCTTCTTCACTATGAGCCGAGTCCTCTACTATCACCACTACTTCCCTGCAATGCTCTTCAGCAGCATGTTGACAGGTAGCACTAAAAGCATTTGGCGTCTTTTCATTATTATGGGTGATTTCATTAAAGCACCTTTTTACAGGAGTTACAGTAGACATCTTTTTAAGAAGTGCCGATCTGCTGCTTCGACCTCCTTATTCTGACTGGCTGCAGCGAGGCGCGCTGATGGTGCTCCTGTTTAGTCTTCTCTACAGGTGAGACGGGGTGGCTTGTTTGTCGTATCGAGCTCTTACTGCTGTTTATTTAGTTCTTGCTGCATTTTTTACTACATAAATCCAGTGATGTTTTGTTATCCATTCAATCAGCTTCTACCTGTTCCATCCGCTCTCCTATGGCATGACTGGTCCTCTAGCGCATGAGGCGGGCGGCGCCATGTCTGGCCTAAAGTGGATGGACTCCTGGGAGTTCTGATCATGATCATGACTCCGATGTTGAGTTGTTTACTCATTTTCAGCAGTTTTTAGATTTTGAATGTTAACGGTGGTATAGTTTTGTAAAGGTACTGTCTGCATTTTAAGTATTTGTGTCACAGCATTGCATAATGAAGCATGCTTTAAAAGACTACTGTGAACCATCAAAAGGTAAATTGTGGAGTATGATAATAAAAAAGAGAATAAATATCTGACAAGATGCCTTAAGTCACTGAACAACATCTGTTTTTTTTTAAGAGTGAGAATACCTGGAATGTATTTGTAAGAATAAATTTAGGAATCATTCATGTAATTAAAGACTTATTTTCTGTGAATGATCTTGGTGTTAGTTTTGACGAGTAGCACTCAGTGTTTACATTTATGCCTGAACATTAAACACCAGCGCCTCCCTGCTTAACACTCCGCTTTAAGGGTTGGATTGGGAGGTTAAACCACCAAATAGTCCCGAGCTGTGTCTGCTGCTCATCGCTCCCCACGGGGATCGGTCGAACATGGGGGACAGTTTTCACACCACACCAGTGTGTGCAACAACTCTGGGACTTATTTTTAAACAGGTATTATTTTGTGCTTTCTTTGGTTTGTATAAAACATCAGGGCGAATAATATGTTGATTTAAAAAATGCAAGTCATTTTTTAATCCAAGTAGTCAAGTCTTTCAGAACTACATTGACAATTATGTCAGCTGATGAATTAATTGTGTCATAATGCAGATAACCTTTAAACTACAGACAATTATCAAAGGTGTTTCTAGCTGTCTTTTGGGGTTCTTGAAGTAATGTTAAATGGAATCCCAGGACCCATACATTTTCAGATTAATAAATTTATTTTTACTATCTATTATTTTTTTTTTTGGGGGGGGGGGGGTAAAATAACCAGTATCCTAATAGTATTGTAGTTCTTTTAAACTGTGTTCTTTGTCTAAATAGAATTTTACAAGACTTACTAAGAAACACTTGCCCTACGTTATTTTTTTCAACCTGTCTTGTTGCCTTGAACGAATGGGGGAATTAGCGCCCCCGGCTGACAAATAATAGAACAACAGTCTGATTTCCAAAAGACAGAAGGAAAGATTGGAGTTGCTGCCCTCCAGTGTCTGAAATCAGGTACTGCGCCATCACGTTTTAGCCGTTTAGAAGAGAATATTATTAGCCTCTTTATCTTAATAAAGCTTTAGAAGAAATTGTAATGTTTAGTTGCTAGCTGCTAATATCTCCAGCTGTAGTTCGTTGACAAAGTTTCAGTTGAACACAGAAAATAAATAGATTTGTTGAGTTTTAATAGGTTTAAGTGAAAACAGTCTGGCTTTCACATTATTTTGACTATGCTGTTAACACTAATTTAAAACCTGCATTACTTTTAAGTGATATAATTTATTTAGAAAGTTTATAAGTTAAGAAACAAGTAACCAAATTGAATATGGGTTCTTTTTGTTCTTTGTCTAAATAGATTTTTACAAGACGGACTTAGTAGAAACTCTTGCTCTATTTTTTAAAACACTTGTTTCGTTGAAAGAATGGAGAATGTGCGCCCTCTGCTGGCAAATAACAGAACAACACAGGTTTCCAACTGCATGCAGACAAGAAGGGAGTATTTGCTGCCCTCTAGTGTCTGAAATTTGATACTGCACATCCGATTTTTAAATCCATTTAGAAGGGAATATTTAGCCTCTTTAGATTTTTCAAAAATTAAATCACATATAGTTGCTAGCTCCGCTGGCAATAAATAGAACGACACTCTAATTTCCAACTGAAATCTGGTACTGCACGTTCCTTTTAGACATTCTGAAGAGAATATTTAGCCTCTTATTTTAATAAAGCTTAAAAAAAATCCATCTCTGTTTTAACTGCTAATAGCCCCAGCTATAGCTAATAGCTAAAATTTTGTTGTACACAGAAAAATAAAATAGATTTGCTGATTTTTAATTTTTAAGTAGTTTGTACAAGTGAACTAGGCCTGGGACGATAACAGATTTTGCAGGACAATATATTGTCCAACAAATTATTGCCAATAAACAATATTATTGTTGACATTATCGAGACCAAAATAATCACTTATATAATTTTAATATATCATAATAATGCAAGTACACCCTTTAAAATGCAGCAAATAAAACTCTTGTTAACATTAGAATGTTCAGAATCGAACTTCTAAATAAATGAATAAAACAAACAAACAAAAAAAAGAAATAAATAAAACGGACTTTCACTCACTGTTAGAAAATATTGCACCAAAAACCATAAAATAGATCCTGTATTGGGTCATCAAAGAAAAAGGGTTGGGAACCACTGACCCAGACTCTTCGAACTTGGACCAAATTGTTGTACACAGATAGCAAAATCTGTTCAACATAGATTGTGATATGTTAAACCACAGATCTATTTGTAAAAACACCGATTTTCTTTTCTTTCACAAATGTTGGAATGAAATTGTGTAAAATTGTACAAAATGTTGAAATGTATCTTGCCTGGCCATGGAACTCGCTGTGTGCTTAGCACCCCTAAACCTCTGATGCTAGGATCGCCCCTGACACTTATTATAAAATTATTAGTTTATTCATTTTACCCCCAGGAACACGGCTTTGGTGTGTAAGAGTGACCTCTTGTGGTGCGTTTGTGAATTTACAAGGCTTTGTCAACATTGACTCCTATTCGTTGTCACGGGTCACGTGATTATTGTGAAGATGGCGTCTCCGAATGGAGGTAAATTTTAATTCCTTACACAGATACGCTGTTAAAAAATGTAAAATTTAACACTTTAAATCACACAAATTATTCCACGAATGTATTGATGATGTAGCTGAACACCCAGAATTCAGAACTACACATATCAGCGTTGTAGTCCGACTTCTCGGAGGTGGTTTTGTTTGACTGAAGGCTCCACTAGCCCCGGTGTTGTTAGTCCACCAACGTTCAAGGAAGAACAGTAGACAGCTGGCTGCAGACCTTCCGTAACTCCTGATATTTTAAATACTACTAGCTTTTGAGTTGCCTCTTTGTTAAATACTGGCCTAATAATTAATATTTACGACATTTTTCCAACATTTTGAGGCATTATTTGTTTCACATCAACATATTTTGAAAGGTTTTTGAAAGGTTATATATATATATATATATATATATATATATATATATATATATATATATATATATATATATATATGTACACACACACACACACTATGTAGGGTCATGTATTAGGAAGCATAATGCTAACACAAATTGTTACACTAAATATTGGTTTTAAGAATAGTTTTTGAATAATCAGCACACAGTTGTTGTCACAGCCTAGCAGAAATGGTTGTATAGGGACTTGAATCAAGCAACATTTAAAAATTAAAGGTATGATAAACTAAACCTCCCAAATATTAGTAATTTTTTTTAAGAACAGCTGATTAATCAGTATTTATCTTGTACACATATTTTGTTTTAATACAGCCAACATATTGTATTAACTGTTGTGGTTACATTTTGACATTTGTTTGGCTGTAGTCATATGGGCCGTTCCCATCTGTACCGGGTCGGTCCGGGCCGGGTAGCGTTGGTTGTTTACATATCTGGGTGGCCTGGTATTTTTCCGGACCAACCAAGGCTCATTCTCAGCCCTCTTCTCGAGGGGGTCTGCTTCAGGCCGACCAGGGCCAACACACCCACTGCTGACGGCAAATTCACACCTTCCATTAGAGCAAGCCTCTGATTGGTCGGTAGAATCAGCCCACATGGGCGTAAGACAAGGATGTGTGGAATCAACCGGGCCAGGATGGGGCCGACTGGGGCTACCCGGCCCGGGCCGACCCGGTACAGATGGGAATGGTCCATAAGTCACACATTTTACTTGTATTTACATCAAGAAGATCACATTTTGTTCTAAAGCTCTGAAATTTCTGCCTGAATTCTGAACATAATTTTACTTCCTTTTCTTTGCCAGGTGATGATTTTGAAAGCTCTTTGCTTAGTTTAGAAAAGCTGGACAGAGCGTCACCAGACCTGTGGCCTGAGCAGTGTAAGTTTTCATCTCCTCTGTGCTTCTTTATGGTCCCACAGTTTAACCTTATCTGTCCTGTCATTTCTCACACAGTACCCGGAGTTGCAGAATTTGCTGCATCCTATAAAAACGTAAGATACGTTTTTTGTCATTAACTGAGATTAATACATTAAATAATCATTTAGATTTGGCATTGCCGTATAATATCATTTATTTTTATTACAGCCCATTACAAGCTCTCCCCCTAAGTGGATGGCTGAATTGGAAAGCGAGGACATCGAGATGTTAAAAGGTTGGTACAATTGTTTTTTTTTTTTAATATATGTTTAATTAGAAAGATTTTCTCTGTGCCTGCAGCGTTTCATGTTAAAACTGTTGTACTGGTTAGTGTTTCCATAAATATATAATCTTGTCAAGGAGAAACTGAGTTGATCAAACTGGAGCTTAAAATCTTTGCCTTGTAATCACTCTGCAGAGCTGGGTAGTCTGACAACAGCTAACCTGATGGAGAAGGTCAAAGGACTTCAGAACCTGGCTTACCAGCTGGGTTTAGAGGAGTGTAAGTACAAAACACACAAACAACATGAAAACATAGGCTGTGATGTGTTCGTGTAGTTTTTAGTTTTCCCAATCAGCTGTTTACGTCTATCACCACCAGGTGGTGCTAGTAGCCTTTCCACTACTACGTTTAGTTGCAGAATCAGATTTACTTTTTGTTTGTTCAAAATAGGCTAAAATCACATGGATGTTATTTATTATTCAAAATCAGAGTAGATGTTATTGAAAGTGCAATTGTAATTTAGAGTCTGCATAAAACAGGTTGGCCGTAAGATCTTTAAAACAAGGATTTAGGTCAATCTTGTTAAATGTAAACAAGTAAGAAATGAGTGCATGCCACCAAGAGCTCACACAAGCAAATGCTCAAGAATATGATGGATGCACAAGCTCTTGTTTTAATCCATTCCCTCCCGCCTCCATTGTAATAATCCTTCTGGAGTGTGGATTAGAGAGATGTAGCTAAGTGCTGATATTATCCTAAAAGAAGATAAAAATGTTTTTAATGTTTCTAGCGTAAGAGAATCGTTGTACACCTCCTCTTCAGCGACATGTGTAAATAAACTGAAATGGTAGCAAATTGTGTAAAATAATGTGAGTTTAAACAGCAGGGTAGATGGCAGCCATGATGTCGGTTCTTTAATGATAATAAATAGTTTGTAGAAGGTTTAATAAAACTTTAATGCCACTTTAACAAGAAAATGTTCATCTATAATAAAAAAATCACCCCAGAGTGATCTACATTTGGTGGTAAAGCAAATCAATATTTTAATGTTGCAGAAATCAGATTGATTCATTTTGTGAAATAATTAATTTTAGAAATGATTTGTTTGCCTTGCCTCCAGCAGAGGAAGTGTGTAGTGGCTCTGGTATGAAGACGCTAGCTGTCATAGGTGCAGGGCCGCAGCCTCTGCAGTCATGTCATGTACTCGGGGATGACGGGACACAATGATGGTTATTATTGGTGTCAGAGCAGGCCTGTAATCGCTGCCTGTTTAATGCTCTCTGGTTTAATTTTCTTCTTTTCCTGGCTGTCAGGGGAGGCCGGTAAATCTCAGCTACTTTTTCATCATGTTTGTGCGCTCTTCACTGCCCGTAAACACGCCCCGCAGAGGACAGGATTTACTGCCCCTCCCCCATAACATGTGGATCATTAAAAGAGCGAGCTGGTTAATGGGCGCGACACAATCAAGCAGTGGAAACTCCGCCGCCACTCTGCTGTGAGAAAATAGCTCTAAGCAGAAATCATTAAGATTCCTGCCTTTGCTTGTGTACATCTGTATGACGTGTTATTAAAGCTGTGAAGGGAGGATGCAGCACACGGCCGTTCCTCCATCACCCCTAAAGAGTGGCGGTGTGACGCCGGTCCAGTTAGTCCCACAGGGGTTTGACGCGTGCCTCCTCTTCAGGCCCCAGCTGTTACCCCGCCCCATGATGAATGCCCCAGTCGTGGATGTGAGTGTGGGCATCAAGCCCCAAATCTCTGGGGACAGCGATGGAGTCTGATAAGTGCTGCTATTGGAGGTAATTGAAAGCTGAGTGTTCTTGTGGGATGTTCTGGAGGGCCTGGGCTGTACTGGGACGGCTGCTGGAGCCAGTGGGCTTTGGGCTACTGATCATTTAACTTCCCCGGTTGCGCTTCTTCATGGGAGACACTGGGACGCCTGAACCAATAGGAACTGGCTACTGAACGTTTAAAGAAGTCAAACAAATGTAAAGTTAAGCTGCTTAGCCGTGGGTGTTCTGGGTGCAAAAATAACAGACATGAAGCAAAGTGACGGCATCAGATGTTTGAAATAATACTTCCTTTCTTACACTTTGAACACCTCGCATGGTTCTTAGTGATCTTGTGTTCACTAAGAGAAGATCAGTAAAAGAAAAACGCCTGTGCTTGTTCTAGAACCACCTGTTGTGGCTGCTTTTGCTTTAGATCACCTCTCCTCTGTCATAAAACCACCCAGCTGTGACCCGGTGTGACCCCTGTTGCATCTGCCTGTGTGAAGGTGAGACTGAAGGGCACCCAGGCCTGACAGCTCCTAATGGGTCCACGTCCACCCTCACCTCCTCCTCACCCTCAGGATCAATCTCCAGCCTATTAGAAGCGTGCCGCTGCTGAATATGATTGCATTCACCGGGCGCCGTTCGTGCTAATGTGCCTCCATCAATCCATCAGGGCGGGCTGACTGCCGGCCGGCTGTTATGAAGTGCCTGAGCTGACAGCCGCTGAATGAGGAACAGGGTGTGCCTCCTCACCGACGCTCACCTCTACTATTTCACTCTGCTCGCTTTTTCACATCTCCCTCGTGTCTCCTCCGCCTCGGAGTTTGTGTGGGATGACATAAAGTGTCTGGATCTGTTACTTTTATTATCCTAGTTGTTACGAAATCATCCTATTCATGTAAAAAGTTCCATGTGTGTTTAGTGGCGTCGTGGTTTCAGCTGTTTTTGATAGAAGGTGTTCATGTCTGAGGCATGATCTGCTCTGCTCTCTCTCTCTCTCTCTCTCTCTCTCTCTCTCTCTCGCGCTCTCGCTCTCTCTCTCTCCCTCGCTCTCTCTCTCTCTCTCTCTCTCTCTCTCTCTCTCTCTCTCTCTCTCTCTCGCGCTCTCGCTCTCTCTCTCTCCCTCGCTCTCTCTCTCTCTCGGCTCCTCAGTCCTGCCTGCCCGCCGCCTCCCTGAGCAGATCGGAAATGACATCTCATTTCCATAAAGGCATTAGGAATTCATTGGATTTTCTTTCCCAGCTAATCATGGTGCGGGTGTAAAACCTTTTAGGCTTTTTAATGAATGATTTTTGACTGATTGCCTATTAATAAGGACACCTCTTGAACAGGCATAGGCTGGGGCAGGGGTTGGGAGTTGCGAATGTGTTTGTTTTGGTGTGTGAGTGAGTGTGTGTGTGTGTGTGTCAGCCAGGCGAAAATTCATTGGAAGAGGAGGAGGAGGTGTGGGCCTTCTCGGTTGGGACATAAAGAGGAACCAGTGGCTCCCCTGGGAAATCATAGCTCGTGTCTGCATCTTAAATATCCCCGTGAAGTATCAATAAGTGGGTAATTGAATTTTGAACACAAACATGAGCGTCAGGTGTACGCGTTGCAGGGCGGGGGGTGTTGGAGCAGGCGCGTCGGATGAATGTGTGTGCCTTCAAGTGTTTCCGTGCTTGAATGTTTGTGTGTGTCACCTCCTCAGTGTGTCCTCTCCCCGGGGAGGAGCGCAGTGAAAGTGGATGTTAAATCCATTAAATAAAGCTTACATCCCATAACAGCTGAGCAGCACACAGACATGAGCAGTGGGGATCAGATATGTCCTCTTAACTCTTAATGAAAGTGAATTGGAGCAGTCAGTGCCGGTCCAGGACTCCAGTTAACCCGGCTGGTCATCTGTCTAACAGGAGGGGTCCAGCAGCTCACCGGGAGCGTGCCATTTGGCAAGGGGAGGGTGTGGGAGTGATGATTACTCTCGTTTTATCCACAGGGGAGCAGTGGCGGGGACTCAAAGAGTGACACCCGGATCACTTGCCTTCAAAGGAGAGGGAAGGAAGATGTTACAGCACCATGCTTCCTCTGCATTTGCATTTCAGTCACCTGAGATTTGCCAAATTAAAATGATTTACCGCTGTGAAGCATAACATTGCAGCAACATTTGGGCTGCAACAAGCGGCTTCTGTGCAGATTAGGCAAGTAGGCAACATTTGGAAAAGCCGCCTGGCACATCTCAGCTGTTGAAAATGTGGGTTAATCTCTATTGTTGCTCAGTAGCAAACGAGGCCTAAAATCCAGATATATTATTCTGTGGTTAAAAGTGGAAAGGTGTTTTTGTTGTTCCCAGTACTGTTTTAGGATGTGAGGACCATGTTAGAGCCAAATGATAATTAGATGGCAACAAATCAACAGGGCAAGGCGATGGTCTGCAGAATCCATAAAGTGTCATTTAGTATGGATGGCAGTCGTAACGAGATGCTGATTAACTTAGTGCAAAATTAGTAATTGACCTTTCTAATCAACTAAACAAATCTCTAAGTCCCTCTAATCAGTATTGATCTCTCTGAGTGTATGACAAAGCGTGTGTGTGTGTGTGTGTGTGTGTGTGTGTGTGTGTGTGTGTGTGTGTGTGTTGGCGTGCTGATGCATGGCAGTCTAATTTTCAGTTTTATTTCCTTGTTTTTTTTATGTAAGCCTTAAAATGAACGTCATTTGCGGTGTATTTTAATAATTAGTTTTATGAGCAACGCCATGTTTCCTTCTACGGGTGCCCATGAGGACAACATGCATTCACTGATTTGTTACAAAACCTTATGTTGTTGTTTTAGACATTTACTCATTCACTCGTTGCCAGAGATGAAAGGGAGTCAAATGTTGATTTTTGACCCTAATGGGCATCCGTTGATAAGGTCTTACTCCAACACAAAAACACATCTTGCATGCAGTGATTTAGGTATGTACTGCCCCCTGTTGCCAGGGAAAATAGACATCATCACTTTAAAGAGTTCAGCGTCAGAAATGTTTTCACAAGCACTAAATAACTGAGCAGACTTATTTTTTCATAGATGCAAGAATGTTTTAGTTTTAGTTTAGACGTGTTTTGGTAAGGTGCTTCCCAACCCTGGTCCTCAGGGCACACTGACCTGCGTGTTTTCCATGTTTCTGCTTCAGCACTCCTCATTTTCATCGGCTCATCAGGAGGACATCAGGTGCTGCAGATACCTGTTAATCACTCAGTCATTCAAGTCAGGTGTGTGGCAACAGGGAAGCACTGGTGTTTAACAGGTGTTGAGGGTCTGACCTCATGAGGAAATTACTATGCAGTGATTTTCTCCAAAATGACTGTGCTTAAATTGCTCTGAAAAGCAAATAATCACATCAGCGCCAAGAAACTTCATTTCCCATGATGCTTTGCACACGGAAGCATTGGGATGATGTCACCGCCTAATACCAGAAACACGTTCTGCGCATGTGCGGGAGGCGGGAGCTTGAAGCTTTCCCGCGACTTCAAAGACTATAAATCATGAATGAGACAAAGAAACCTCGTTCTTTTGCCCAGGATACCTGGCGGTAAGGACACGCTTATCGAACGCTCCGATTCCCTTGAGCACGCGGAAGCTCTAAGTGCCAAGTTGAGCCCACGGAACTGCTGGAAACTAAACTGCAAGCCCATCAGATCTGCTCGTTTCTGCTCCCCTCCAGCTGATGTTTGAGGACACAGAACTGCGGAGGGAAACAACAACTCCATCCAGCTCTCAGGAACGCTGTAAGTTATAACTCAGCACAGAAAGAAACTTTGCTGTCTCTGTCCAGCCCGTGGAGAAACACTCGTGAACGCCAAACAACGGAGAAAGCATCAAACCGACGGATGACGCCGGAAACTGCGGAGAAAAACGGAGAACCGTCAAGTCATAACAGCGGGGGACGCCTTGCTGCTTTGGTGATCAGGAAACTCATTTTTTTCTCTCCTTTTCTTCTCCCGTTTCCTCTATAGTCTCAAATAAGCAATAAACCGCGTCTATTGCTTAAAAAGTAGCTTCGTGTTTTCCTCTTTCGTCCCAAACACGTCCGTCGGGTCATTTTGAAAGAATAAACTGCTTATTAATCATTGTTTGGTATCTTAAAATGGTTTCTGTCATGGCCAGGCTGAAACTAAAAGATATTAATTTGTGATTAATCTTTTGTGTTGTTTCATGATCTTTTGAAATGTTTTGAGTGATTTAAGGTTAAGTTACTACTGATTCTAAGTGCTTTGGAAGTTAAAGTGCAAGTTGCCACCCACACTTTAGCCAGACAAAGGGGTCAGCCATCTTGTATTCAAGACTCCATTTTGAATCCATACACACGCACACACACACACACATACACACTACTCCTTTGTGAGAACAAAGGACCCCATTCATACATCCTCCATCACATGCAAACACATCCATCTTCAATCATATCACACGGTTATTATTCATCTATTCCACTGTTTATTCATTTGACAAATTGTTAATTAAACGTTATAAAATTCAGATTTTCGTCTCCAGTAGCTTTGTTGTGTCGAAGAGAAGTCTCTGCTCCAAGGATTCTACGAACTTCAAGAAAGACTGATAAGAGTTTTGGATTCAATTTTTCCCCGGAAAAAGGGGAATGGTGCCCCGTATATCTAAGAATATCTTAATTAATTAATAAATCAGTAAATATTCCCATATTTACAGAATTTATTGAAGAATCCAAAAGTAAGTTGAAGCTTACTAATTGTTCGCTCCTAATAACCCCAACATTTTATTGGTGCAGCCCGCGTGAGGCTTGGATACACAGAGATTTCTATCCGGCACAAACAAACAAATAAATCCAAAGAGCTTGAATTAAAAATAATCAGTTGTTCAGCCTTGGACCAGCAACAGAGTGGTGCTGATTTCGCTGAGCAGGAAGCTGCATCGAACTCTCACCAGTAACTCAGTGCTTCTTTAAAGGTGCAACGTGTAAATTAATTCTGGTTGACCTTTTAGGTTAAAAATTCAGTTTTCCTTAAAGGTGCAATGTGTAATTAATTCTGGCTAACCTTTTAGGTTAAAATTCAGCTTTTCCTTAAAGGTGCAACGTGTAATTAATTCTGGCTAACCTTTTAGGTTAAAATTCAGTTTTTCCTTAAAGGTGCAACGTGTAATTAATTCTGGCTAACCTTTTAGGTTAAAATTCAGTTCCTCATTAAAGGTGCAGCGTGTAAGTAATTCTGACTAACCCTTTTAGGCTAAAATTAACTGCTAATTCAGCGACTTTAACTCACAGTGGCTATTATAACTAACTGAAACCTTCACTCAAAGACTGATAACACCCTGTTTGCTAATATTCTGAAGGAATAACTAGCATATTTAACACTGCAAGTGTTGTAAGACGTTGCTACGGCAACGCACCAGCTTTTGCTAAAATACTGAAAGGAATAGTATTTTAAGCGTCAGTCACGGCATTCCGTGCAATCTTAAAACGCTAAAACCTGTGCGCACAAAGGTTAATTTAGTGTTTTTCTGCTACAAAGCTAGCAGTTGCTGCCAAAGGTGCAGCCTTGAGCTATCTGCAGAAGCTCTACTAGGCTATTTTTGGTTCGGTTGTTAAAAATGGAGGGACAGAGTAGTGAACTGACCAACTCCCAGCAACCAGGTGGCGCTGCGGCCCACGACTATGAACCTGGCCTACTTTCTGGACAAATATTGTCCAAACTGGTCGCGGTTGCTCGAGAACCCGACTACCCTTCTAGGGATTTCACTGAAGAACAGCGTAGCGTCGAGCTAGAAGCTGTAATCGATCAAATAGAAAACCCGGATGGTACAAAACCAATCCAGGTTCACTTAGCTAAGTTAGCCCTGATCCTCTATCAGAGAGGACTCCAACGTGGTCAGAAGATCATGAACCTCCAGAGTATGCTAGCTGAAAAACAGCGAAATGGAAGGCTGATCGAGGAAGACGACACCCGCACCGATTCTGGGGAAGATGGGGAGGAGACCCCGCCCCCTTCTGCTGATGACAACAGACAGTGGGAAGGGGGGAAACACCAGGACTCTCTGGACGGACGCACGCCGCAGGGGAGAGATGAAGCTCATCTGTTCCAACCTTCGGCCCCGTTCCCTACACACACTATAGGGCATTCAGGACCACCTAGGGGCCGAGAGCAGTTCGCCCTTGAACCCCAGGTTGGACCACCACCCTCATCTTCACGGCCTTCTCAATCAGTGAGAAGTCGACCAGCTGAGCGGCACCTCTATTTAGACCGCTCCCCCAGTCCACGAAGGGTGCAAGGTGCCGGCTGGGGTTATCCACAAGCCCAACCTGCACCTCAACCATCCACCCATCCTAGCTACTCCGGTATTCGGCATGCCGATAACCAGCTGCAGGACAAAGCATCATACGCCAGTCCGTACCCGGACAGAGCGTATTACGCAGAAGCCCCAGTTGAAAGACGCAGGCTGCACTACGCAGACGTGCCCCGGGAGGAGGACCTCCCAAGACACCCACGTGACGTGCCAGCAGCCCACCACAACATGCCGGACCCCGATTTGGGCCCCAGGAGTCAACATTGGGAGCCCAGAGCACACCAGCGATATCCAGCGCCTTCTGAGACAGACCGTGGGTCAGAGTCAGAGGATGACGCGCCGTACCGTGAGTCAGGGCTCCGTGTACGTCAAATTGAATCGCTAGCTAAAGACATAGAGCGCTTTGATCCTAACACCAATGAATCTAATGTCGACGATTATCTCAGGGAGATAGAACGTTGTCTGCTTGATCTTCCAGCACCCTCTTCAAGGGAAAAGCTCAAGCTAATTTGGAAAACCACATCTAGAACGGTGCACGGTTTCATGGAAACTCTACCACCTGACATTCGTGATCGGTACTCCTCGCTCTGCCGAGCGTTGAGGGATGAATACGCCACGTATGCAGACTCCGCGTCAGCTACAATGGGGGCCTTCTCCATCAAACACGGGAGGAACGAACCCCCCAGAGAGTATTATCGCCGACTCAAAAGTGCTTATTTCCAAGGTCGAAACGGCCCTGGGCTCGAGGAAGACCCTGCCTTCAGATCCCTGTTCATTCACAACCTGCACGAGTGTGTTCGATCCGAAGTCTCAATGTATTGTCGGATGAAAAAACTGACAACTCAGGAGATTAGGAGATACGCTCAACAGGCTTGGGAAGCCGGCGGAAAGCCCCAAAAGCCTGACGCACATCACCGCGTCATGCACCTAGCTCCCGACGCTGAGCCGCGTTTGGAGCTCGAAGGCACAGAAGCTCCACCCACTAAGCCAAAATCTGCTAAACCTAGACCTGTTAAACCGCGAGAGCAGTCCCAATCTCCTCAACAGGGGAAGGGGGGTGCTGATTGGCCGCCTAGGTCTGGACAATCAGACAGGAAGTGGCCCAACCAAAACCAACGGCAGGCAGGTCGGAACAGTGGAAGGTTTAAGGAGCGCCGCCCACAGGTAGGTCCCGAACACGAGTCCGCAGGTGAGTACTTGACCAAAGCCGACGTCCAGGAGATGTTTCAGCAGTTTCTAGCTAAACAGAAGGAACAGCTGAGATCTGCAGAAGAAACCCTTGCACCAAAGTCGTCTTCTAAGAAGCCAGACCCAGAGCCAACGTCCGCATGACTAGGCGTGGCTCAACCCCCCAGCGTGGCCAGGACCTACCTGATCAGCTGGGGGAACACTACTGGTAGATCACAGGAGTCTCCAGAAATCTACCCCCCAGAGAAACCTGATGCTAAATTTCTGAAGTTCCTTGGTGACTTAACAAACCATGATCATGCTCGCCGTTTGTACTGTAGCACCAACGTAGGTGGGTGCATACAGGTTGATGCTCTGCTGGATACCGGCTCAGAAATCACCCTGATGTGCTCCACATTGTTCCATCGCGTGTCTGACACCATGCGGTCGCTCGGGAAACCAGTCCAGGTTGAACCTTGTGACCTGAAAATCACCAGCTACACCCAGACCCGGGAGTGTATCACTCACCGGGCGTGGCTGGATATCACCTTCCAAGACATGACTCTGGTTCACCCGTTTTATGTCTGCCAGCTAGACACTGAACCACTTCTCATTGGTCAGGACCTGCTTGAACGTCTAGCTCCCCTCATCGACTGCCAGAAGGGTCAACTGTGGGCCCAGGTGGAAACACCTAAGCCCTGGAACCCGGATAGCAGCCGACCATCCTCCATTCTTGAAGTCAGCCTAAGTGAGCCGCAAAACCCTTGTTCCAAGGTCATGCCCCTCCCTACGGCTCCCACAGACGATGACCGTCTGCAAAGG